TTGGGAAAAGTTTTCAATTAGCAATAATCGCGCCTCGGATAAACCTCATTGGCTACGATACTGCCACTGCGCAAAGCTAGCGACTGAGTTTGCGCACTCCACTGCCCAGGGCTGACAACTCCCTTTACAATGACGGCGAGTAACAAACCGCGCATTCGTAGGTACAACGCGTTCCCGTTTGAGCAATCAAATTTAAATACTTCTGCGTGGAAAGTTTCTTGTCAATGGACTATTTTGTGCCCACACATTCGGATTTTGGAAAGAGAGGAACACTCGCTTGGAATGCTGGGCACTCTTATGCAAATGATCTGACGTCACAAAGATGACTGGGTTGAGAATTTCAGAACAGCGGCAGGGAAGCCAGCGTGAGTCGGAAGGGCAAAAGTGGGGTGGGGTGCACGACTGAGTAGGTGCTGGGGTGCAGAAACAGGAGGTGGGATGTTTTTCATCAGAAGGTAACTTTCAAAGGAATTACAACTTTAACTTCAAATGTCAGTGTGGCACGAGAACTGATAAATGAACAAGGGCGTGTATGACAAAAAATACAGACGAAAATACCAGTAACCAACTTTAAATACTAAATACAGGTAAAAACATCGCAGTGAGAAACGTTAATTCTTGAAAGATTACTATAGTAGTACTCACAACCCCGCTTCTTTACCTAAGAAGCAACTCTGTACTTACGGATATAAGGAGTTACTTTCTTTAAGACCGAAATTACTCAGTCTCCGTAGAGACTGTCAAAAATTGCCAATGCCGACTGTATTTCAAGTCGTCATGGCGGGGTATTGGGAAAAGTTTTCAATTAGCAATAATCGCGCCTCGGATAAACCTCATTGGCTACGATACTGCCACTGCGCAAAGCTAAGGAGCACCGCCCCCCGCCATCGCCCCCAGTAAGTGAGGTTCCTATTACAGAAAGGCGAGTTTGAGCCCAACGAGGAAACCTTCCATTACTGTTTGCTTGAAAATTTACGGAATCAAGCGAAATTATATGAAGATCCTTTGAAAAATATATAGGGTTTCGGTTGTGATTTCATTTACTAGATTTCGGTGAAGACTGAAGCAAAGCACTATGGGAGGAAACATGCTAATAGACTTAATTCAGAGAATGCAAGGGGAGATTGAGGGAAATGGCTTGAGGCAGGATGTTCTCTTGGCTCCTGTTTCACAGTGCAACAACCTTCTCCAAAGAGGTTTTATTGTTTATGGTGTTATATACAATAAAATATGAGGAAAGTACACAGAACATAAAATTTACCACTTTTTTTTGTTTTGTTTTGTTTTTTGTGTGGTAGTGGGGTTTGAACTCAGGGTCTACACCTTGAGCCACTCTACCAGCCCATTTTAGTGATGAGTTTTTTCGAGATTAGGGTCTCGTGAACTATTTTCCCGGGCTGGCTTCGAACCGCGATCCTCCTGATCGGCTGGGATTACAGGCGCGAGCCACCAGCTCATTTTAACCATTATAAGGGTAACTTCAGTGGCATTGAATTATTCACATTGTTGTGCAGTCGTTACCCCCATTCATCACAATTGAAACTCTTCTGGATTCCCCAGCCCCTGGCAACCACTATCCTATCTTCTGTCTGCATGGATTTGACCACTCTAAAGACCTTGTATAATTGAAATCATAATATTTGTCCTTATTCCACTTACATAACATTTTTATGGCTCATCCACGTTGTAGTACGTATCAGGATTTTTAATTCCTTTTTATGGGTGAATAACATTCCATTGGATGGAATTCTGTTTATCTATTCATTCTTCCATGGAAGCTTGGGTCGTTTTTACCTTGTAGCTATTGTGAATAATGCTGCTACAATGTACAGTATTAATTTGAGGACTTCTTTTTGGTACTGGGGTTTGAACTCAGGGCTTTGCACTTGCTATGTAGGCGCTTTAGCACTTGAGCCAAGCCTCCAGCCTGAGCTCCTGCTTTCAATTCCTTTGGATAGATACTTAGAAGTGAAATTACTGGATCATATGGTAATTCTGTTTAATTCAAAAGAGTTTTCTGCCAGACACTGGTGGCTTATGCCATAATCCTAGGTCCTCAGGAGGCAGAGATCAGGATGACCTGCAGTTTGAAGCCAGCCCAGGCAAATAGTTCCTCAAGACCCTATCTCAAAAAACCCTTCACAAAAATAGGGCTGGTGGAGTGGCTCCAGGTGAAGGCACTGAGTTCAAGCCCCAATACCGAAAAAAAGAAAAAAAATTTTCTATGAACATTTTTTTTTCTTTTCAGTGCTAGAGATCAAACCTAGTATACTTGTGTAAGGAAATGTGGGCCCCAAAGTGACCACGTGGAGAGGAGTGATCTGGCCAAGAGATTCTTTATTGCCGGGTGGGAGAGGGAGAGAGCAGAGAGCCAAGAGAGTGAGGGAGAGAGGGGCAGGGGCTTAAATACCCCTCAGTGGGACTTAGCATGATCTGGTTGGTTAGGATCTTATGGTTCATGCTGATTGGAGGTTGGGGCAGAAGGAGGGTTCAAGCTAGACTTGAGGCTGGACTGTGACCCTGGGAGGCAGGACTGTGACCCTGGAAAACAGGAGCTTAAGGGTGCAGTAAGAACTGAAACCTGTCGGTGCCATTATTGCCAACAGTTTTTATTTTTATTATTATTATTTTTTGTGGTACTAGGGTTTGAACTCAGGGCCTACATGTTGAGCCACTCCACCAGCCCTTTCTTGGGTTGTGTATTTTTAAGATACGATCTTTTGAACCATTTGCCTGGGCTGGCTCTAAACCTTGATCCTCCTGATCTCTGCCTCCTGAGTTGCTAGGATCACAGGCTTGAGCCACTGGTGCTGACAGAGCATGACATTTTTTGAAGCGTGAAAGCACATGAACTCTGTTTTGCCAGCCAGGCTCTGTTAATGATGCTCGTTGCATTGGAGAACTGGAAAAAAAGTAATCTGGGCTTGAAATTTTTCATCATAAAATTAAAGGGGAAGAGAACGTCACTATTTCAACATTTTTGTAAGTTTCTTGTCAAATACTCATATGTACAAAAAAATGTACTGGATATTTTTTTTGGAGGGGCTCCTGGGGATCAAACCTGGGTCCTTCATCATGCTAAACACAAACTCTACCCCTGAATTATACCGCAGCCCTGCAATGTTTTTGGTTTTCAGTTTGGTCCTTTTAGGCAATGTGATCGGGTTAACTAAGGCTGCCAGGTGATTGATTCTCCCAGTCTAGTACATACTATAGACAGTGACCTATCCAAATCGTCTTTTGTAGGACTGGGGTTTGAACTCACAGCTTCATGCTTGCAAAACAGGCTCTCTACTGCTTGGGCCAAACTTCCAGGTCCCAAATTGTCTTTTGGGAAAGGACAAATCTCCTAAACTACTAACTGAAGTCGCTTTACCAATATTCACAACTGTATGTACAATGGGAGGCCCAGGAGTCAAACTTTGCCTCTAGCTTCTATGTTATCCCTCTGGGTTTCAGAGTTTTTTGAGGGCTTTTGTTATTTATTTTGTTTTTGTTTTTTGAGACAAGACCTCATTGCAAAGCTCTGGCTCCCTCGAACTCTCAGTCCTGCTACCTCTGCCTCCCCAATGCTGGGTCACAGGCATGAGCCACCATGCCTGGCTTGGTTTGGCTTTGTTGATGCTAGGGATGGAACCCAGGTTCTGTGCTTCCTAAGCAAACACTCTACCACTGAGCTATATCTCCAATCCTTTTGGTTTATCCTGAGGTAAGGAAAGAGGGTTCTTAGGTGGTCTGCAAGGTCCCTCTTCAGTTATTTTCTGAAACACATTAATTGATGTCTTTATTTATTTATTTATTTTTGCAGTTCTGGGGCTTGAACTCAGGGCCTACACCCTGAGCCACTCCACCAGCCCTTTTTGTGTTAAGTATTTCCGAGATAAGTTCTCAAGAACTATTTGCCTGGGCTGGCTTCAAACCATGATCCTCCTGATATCTGCCTCCTGAGTAGCTAGGATGACAGTAGCTAGAACCAGTGCCTGGTTCTAGATGTCTTATTTAAAAGGTAATTCTAGGGCTCAAGTGGTAGAGCGCCTGCCTAGCAAGGGTGAAGTCCTGAGTTCAAACCTTAGTACCACAAAAAAAAAAAAGAAAGAAAAAAGGTGATATTATAGTGCAGTGGTTCCCATTTGTACCCATTAAGAACAACTGGGAAGTAAGTAAACAGAGTTGATACCCAGGCCTCACCTCAGACCAATGAAGTCAAAATCTCTGGGGGAGGGTGATACAGGCATTGTATTGATCATTAAATTAAAACGTAAGAAATGACATTGGAGGGCTGGGGGCTTGAATCAAATAGTAGATCAAGCAAGAGGTCCTGAGTTGAAAGCCAAGTACCACAAAAACGAAGAAAGGGAAAGAAAAAGAAAAGAGGGCTGCTGGCGTAGCTCAAGTGGTAGAGCACCTTCCTAGCAAGCACAAAGCCCTGAGTTCAAATCCCAATACCACCAAAAAGAAAAAAGAACAGAAATTACACTGGAGAAGTCAAGTGTGGATGAGTGCACTAGTCCATACATATTATAATTGGCTTTAATTGTTCTTATTAACCATAAAACATCAATTTTTCAGGTGTCTGTGCACACATTTCTTCACAACTCACTATAGGATACTTTATTCATAGTGGAGAATTTGATTCTGTTGTGGAGAATAGAAAGGAACATAAACAATGATGAGTCGAATCCTGGTCCATTACTAAAAGCCTGTAGTGTAAGAGGATGAATTTCTATGCTGGCGCTGCTTGGATGCTATTTTGCACTGAGGACATTGGTACCCATGCTCTAACCACGTCTCTCTCAAAGAGAGCACTGTGTATCATTGGCTCAGGTGACAGCTATACATCCTGAATCGAGATTCCAAACCTCTGACCAATAAAGGCCGACAGGGGGCGTGCCAGGACGACCTGGGGCCCTCAAGGGCGAGGCCCGCAGGATTGTGGGATTTGTAGTTTTTCTTGCATCACATCGACTTCGTGAACTACATTTCCCAAGATGCAACTGTAGCTGGACAAGCCTACTGTCGCATGGGAAGTGCTCCTAAATTGTGAAAGGTAAAGTGTGTTCTGTGCGGGCTGCAGGTTTCTAGACGTTGTGCATTTCTTGTAAAGGGAATCCATTTTTCCTTTTTGTCCTTGGAGGGACCTGGAAGACACGTGTTTTTAGTGCGGTTTCCCTGTCCCTGTGGCCTCAGGAAACCCGACTGTGTGTGTTTAGCTGTTCACGGGTTGCCGTGGAATGTCAAGGAGAAAGCAGGGTCCAGAAGTCAGGTTTGCAGAGCCACACATGAAATAATATTTGCCTATGGGGGGGGTTGTAACTACAGAATTTCTGCGTTATATCAATGAATACGCCAAAGCCTTATTTGTACTGCTAGCAAAGCTGACAGGTAGCTGTCAGCTGTCTTTTTTTTTTTTTTTTCTGTGTCCGAGCAGCAAAATTTGCAATGGAGAGTAAACAGATAATATGGGGGAAATGAAGAAACAAGAGAGGTGTGTATGTATATAGTTACATTCATAAAATCAAAAGCCTGAAAACTCTGAGCAATAACTTCATGAAAACCTGACATACTGGGCTGGGGGTGGAGCTCAGTGGTAGAGGGCTTGCCTAGAGGTACGAGGGCTTGGGTTCCATCCCCAGCACTAGGGGGGAGGCCCTGACATCCTAGAACTAGATTTATAAAACAGGAAGTTGGCTTATGGGAACACATAGTCCCCCAAGGGATAATATTAACCAAAAACATAGGTAAATTTAACTCTTACAGTGACATCATTAGATGTAGTCATAGGTGAAAAAAATAGAATTTTTTTTTCCAGTGGGGAAGTGCTAGGATTTGAACCCAGAGCTTTGGGCATGCTAGGCAAATGCTCTACCTCTGAGCTATACCCATAGCCCTTCCTATTAATCTTTTGAAGTTTATAAATTCAGTTCTGACCAGCCAGGTGTTGCTGGAAGAGACAGATTAGGTCTTATGTTATGTCAGATTCCAGCTTTATCAATTTTTTCTCCCTCCTCCCTTCAGTGTTTTAATAAACCAAAATATAAAGTGTTCCTTTTTTTTTTTGTTTTGGTGGCATTGGGGCTTGAACTAAAGTGTTCGTCGTGTTCCTTGGTTGCAGAAAGCCTTGCAGATTCCCCAGCCACGGGAAGCTAATTTCCATTTGAGAGCTGCAGCATAATACAACTCTGGCTTAGGTTATTAGGTGGTCAGGGAGATATGATTGACTTAGACTGTTATGAAATAATCCCGTGTACAGACAAGATTTTATTCTGTAGAAAGTATTACAGATTGTTTTGTTTGTTTCTGTTTTTTGAGGCATAGTCTCTGTAGACCAGGCTGACAAGGAACTCACTATATCGCCCAGGCTGACTTCAACTCACTCGAGATCCAGATCCACTTGCCTCCTGAGGGCAGAGCTTTCAGGTGTATGCCACCACACCCTATCTGACTTGTGGATTCTTGATTGAGATCCTCCGTCTCTTTCTAGCTTGGGTACACTGTCTTCCTTTTTTTGTTTGGCTCAGTTATCTGGTATATAGCCTGATGTTTATTTTTTTAAGCATTGGCTCTTGCTTATCTCTGTTAACAATCTGTTGATAATCATGCATCCTGGCTTTCATTTTGATCTAGAACTAGGGCAGTACAAGGGTGCAATATTAGTTGTTTCCTGTCCTAGTTCACTTTGTACATTTAATTTCAAATATGTTTTCTTCAAATACTATATAGGCCATCACCAGTTGCAAGCATTTAAAGAAAAAAATACTATCTGGCCCAGATATTTGAGTTTTGTTTACATTTAAGATAAAACAAGCTGGGATCCAGTGGCTCAAACCTATAACCCTGGCTATTCAGGAAGCAGAGATCAGGAGGATCGAAGTTTGAAGCCAGCCTGGGCAAATTGTTCGAGAAACACTATCTTGAAAACACCCATCACAAAAAAGGGCTGATGGAGTGGCTCAAGGTGAAGGCCTTGAGTACGGCAAAAAAAAAAAAAAAAAAAAAAAGATAAACAGCCAATGTTTTAACTTCTCTTCCATTTTTATGTCTCATTTTCTGACAAAAATCTTTTTAAGAGTTTTTAACTGATAAAATTTAAAGGATAAAGCATTTTCCTTCATCTCATGGCTCTTTTTCTTTCTTTTTTTTTGATGGTACTGGGGTTTGAACTCAAGGCCTCAGACACTCTACCACTTGAGCCACTCTGCCAGCCCCAAAACACAAAAAATTGTATGATTCTAATTAAATAAATGTCTGGAATAAGCAAGTCTATAGAAATAGCAATCATTGCTAAGGGCTGGAGAAAGGGAGACATGTAATAGCATGAAAGTATCAGAAATTCGTTCATTTTTATACCTAAAAAAAAAAAAAAGTAAAAAATAGGCCCTGAACATCAGTAGCTACTAACATTACAAAGAGACGGAGGTGAGGTGTGGGGTGGGGGAAGTGCAGCAGTAGAGCCCTTGTTTAGCATGCGTGAAACCCTGGATTCCATTCCCAACACTGCAAATAAATGAATAAATAAATAAAGATAAATAAAACATTGCAAAGAGACAGCCAGGATTATAAGACTTTTTTTTTTTTTCTTTTGCAGTACTGGGGCTTGAACTCAGGGCCACCACCAGCCCTTTTTTGTAAAGGGTTTTTTCGAGATAGGGTCTCACAGAACTATTTGCCTGGTCTGGCTTTGAACCGCCATCCTCCTGATCTCTGCCTCCTGAGTATTTAGGATTACAGGCATGGCTCAGAATTATAAGACTCTTGATGGAAGAGCTCACCACTACCTAAGATGTGGTCTTGGCAAAAAAAAATCAAACCTGATTGATCAAGTTTCTAAAGCTACTTACTAACTTACAGGAAATACAGATTTAAATTTAAAACATTGTGTTAAGTGACACCATTTGTCAATTGGCAAAGATCAGACCTTTGGAAACTGTACAGGACAAACAAATGAGTTTTTTCAACCAATAAATTGCATGATTTATGAAGGTGAATTCTCTATTAAAACAGATTCAACCAATTATAATATACAAGACTTATTTGGATCCCAACTCAAACCAATTTTTAAAATATGACATTTATAAGACAATTGAGATTGAAAAACAATATTAACAAATTAGTGGATTTTGTGTGTGTATGTGTGTCTTTTTGTAACTGACTTCTTACACTTAGCGTGTTTTCTTTCTTTTTTTTTGGTGGTACTGGAGTTTGAAGTCAGGGTTTCGTGCTTGCTAGGCAGGCACTCTACTGCTTGAGCCACACTTCTAGCCCACACTTTGCGTGTTTTCGATGTCCATCCAGGTTGTAGCATGTATCAGAACATCATTCATTTCTATGGCTGAATAATATTCCATTGTATGGTTCAGTTGGTGATTACCTTTTTTGTTTGTTTGTTTTTTGCAAAACCCAGCTTCTCAGATGAGATTTCTTCTTCTACAGAATGAGAATGAGCTGTGTGTTGACTTTCAGGTCAACAAAACACCACTGGATCACGAACTTCAGCCGTCCATGCTTCCATGGATCCATTGGGTTGTTTGTTCCACCAAGTCCTCCTTTGGACCCTCAGAAAGTCAAAGAGTTACAGCGCTTCATCACCCTTTCCAAGAAACTTCTAGTGATGACTGGAGCAGGTGTCTCCACTGAGTCAGGAATCCCAGACTACAGGTCAGAAAAGGTGGGACTTTACGCCCGCACTGACCGGAGGCCCATCCAGCATGTGGATTTTGTACGGAGTGCTCCAATCCGCCAGCGGTACTGGGCAAGAAACTTTGTAGGTTGGCCTCAGTTCTCCTCGCACCAGCCGAACCCTGCACACTGGGCTTTGAGCAACTGGGAGAAACTCGGAAAGCTGTACTGGTTGGTGACTCAAAATGTGGATGCTTTGCACACCAAGGCAGGGAGTCAGCGCTTGACAGAGCTCCATGGATGCATGCACAGGTGGCTTGATTGAAAACTGAGTGTGTGGTTCCATGAGGGCAGGGTGACACTGACTATCTTGATCGCAGTTGTCTTAGTTTTTTTTTTTTTTTTTTTTTTTGTGGTCCTGGGGTTTGAACTCAGGGCCTACACCTTTGAGCCACTCCAGCAGCCCTTTTTCATGATGGATTTTTTCGAGGTAGGGTCTCTTGAACTATTTGCCCAGGCTGGCTTCAAACCGCAGTCCTCCTGATCTCTGCTTCCTGAATAGCTGGGATTACAGATGTGAGCCACCAGCACCTGGCACGGTTGTCACAGATCTTGAGAAAAGCACTTGGGAGCAAGTTGTTTATCTTGGAGTTGATCCCAGTAAACTCAGCGAGGAAGCAGGGACATAAACAGAGGAGGAGGAAAGTCAAGAAAGGGTACTTTCAGGACAAGGTATGTAGCTTAGTGATAGAGCCCTTGCCTACCATGCACAAGGCTCTGCATTTTATCCCCAGCTCTGCAGTAGAAAAGGGGGTACGTTCACTAGTGTGTTACTGTTTTAGGCAGTTACTGTTTTGCTTCAGAATTACCTTACTGATCCAGGTGCCGGTGGCTCACACCTGTAATCCTAGCTGCTTAGGAGGCAGAGATCAGGAGCATCGAGGTTTGAAACCAGCCGAGGCAAATAGTTCAAGAAACCCTGTCTCAAAAATACCCAACACAAAACGGGAGTGGTGGTAGTGGCTCAAGTGGCGCCTATCTAGCAAGCTTGACACCCTGAGTTCAAACCCCACAGTGCCAAAGAAAAGAATTACCTCACTGAAAAGAGGAGGAGGCTAGGATGTTTATGCAGACTCTCCCATCCTTCATGGGACCAGGCCAACTCTTGGAGAATTATTCCCCAATAACTTTGACTCTGCCCTTCCCAAGAAATATTCTACGTCAGAGAATATCCTCAGCAAGAAGAGACTCAGGGGATTGGAGATGTGACTCAAACTGTACAGTGCCTACTTTGTGAGTGTGAAGCTTTAGGTTCGAACCCCAGTCCCACCCAAAAAAAAAAAAAAAAGAAAAAGGGAAGAAGAGTCTCAGGAAGCTGCTTATAAGAAGAACACAAAAAGGTGGCCTCCAGAGTGTCCTGGGGGACGTATGTGCAGAATACCAACAGCATATGCTACTGCTCTTATCTCCAGCATCTAGACAGACAGAACAGTGTGGCCTAGCAGATATATGAGCAGGGTGTCATGCCTGCAGCCCTGGCAATAACTTGCTAATTGGAACCATTGTTATTTTTAAGTCCCAGGGAGCCTTCTCTGAGGACTGAAATCAGTCTGCCAATCATGATATGTTTACTGGAACTGTCATGTATGGCGTGTATTGGGATGCTACTTGGGAATGTGGAGGGATTAAAGCCAAATTATAAAACTAGTCTGGGACTGGAAGTGTGGCTCAAATGGTAGAGCACCTACCTAGCAAGTACAAGGCCCTGAGTTCAAACCCCACTACTGGAGAAAAAAGAAAAAAACCCACTTTTTTTTTTTTTAAACAGGGTCTCACTATGTAAGCTGGGCTGGCCTTGAATTTGTAATTCTCCTGTCTTCACCTCTGGAGTGTTGGGATTATAGGGGTATGCCAACACACCCAGTTTAAGCACGGTCTACTTTATATGCAGGAATTTTGTAATTCTGTAATGTTTGTGTGGTGAGGGACACAAAAATAACGTTCAATTATAAACAACTCAATGCATAATAGTCAAATTGTGTGGTCCTTGATATACATGCGGGCTGGCAGAGTGGTTCAAGTGTTAGAGTGCCTGCCTAGCAAGCATGAGGCTCTGAGTTCAAACCCCAGTACTGTAAAAAAAAAAGTTCTCAATATATATGATGTGCACATTCAAAGAAATGGGGTTAGTGGAGATTGGAGTAATTAAGAAAGCTTTTATGGGTTAAGACAGGTCTGGAGACTGGCTCAAGTTTGACTAGGCAAAGGAGGAAAAAAAGAGAGTTTTCTAAATTAAGGGAATTTGTAGAACCCAGGGGAGTCTGGTCTGATCTCTATGGAGAGTTTGGATTGGGACTAGTATAAAATCAGATTATGGGAAGGCTGGACCCAAATCAAGGTTGCATTTGAAAAACAGGCAGTGCAGTTTGGGTCTGTTGTGAGACACAAAAAGAGACTATTAGTGGTTTCTGAGAAAGAAAACAACATGATAAAAATAGCATCTAAGGAAGGCTAGACAAGATTAAAAAGAGAGGGTTAGGGAGGTCAGCCTGAGGACTCAGATTAAAGTGGTGCTGGGGGAATTAGAACAGTAATGATGCCAAAGCTGGGCATATGCTCTACCACTTGAGCCATTCTGGCAGCCAGGATGCAGACACTATTGTAGGTAGTGGGCACAGAGCAGGGTCAAAGGACCACTTGCCCTTATGGAGTTTGTATTCTGGTGATGAGAGGAATGAGGAACGAACCAGAAGGCACTGAGGCATGGAAACCAAGGGGGAAAAGTGGTTTTGTTTTTATTTTTTGGTGCTGGGGATAGAACCCAGGGCCTCATGCACAGGATCTTCCCACTGAGCTATACCCCCTAGGCCTGGAAAAGTGTCAACAATAACAGCAGATGAACAGAGCAAAGAATAGAGAGAGGGGAGAAAACTGATGTGAGTACTAAAGAAATTGTCAAAGGGTTTGCTGCTGGTTAAGGATTAAAGTGATCTAGCCAGCTGAGCAGGGAGTAAGGAGACATGAGTATTTTTCTTGAAAGTTGCAGCAGGAAGGTGAGCAATCAGGGATAGGAATGTGTAAAGTGGCCCAAAAATGTGGGTATTAGGAAAGGAAAGAGCTAGAGGGCTGGAAAAGGTGGGAATTAAGTGCTTCTGGAAGCTTTGTGCCTCCCAAGGACACAGTGTTCAGCGGGTGTCATCTTTGGTTTTTAGGGTCCTCTGCTTGGGATGTGGACAGCAGACTCCCCGGGGGTTGCTGCAGGAGCGCTTCCGAGCCCTGAACCCCAGTTGGAGTGCCCAGGCCCAGGGCGTGGCCCCCGATGGTGACGTGTTTCTCTCAGACGAGCAGGTGCAGAGCTTTCAGGTCCCATCCTGTGTGCGATGTGGAGGCCCTCTGAAGCCAGATGTCGTTTTCTTCGGGGACACAGTGAATCCTGACAAAGTTGATTTCGTGCACAGGCGCGTGCAAGAAGCTGACTCCCTGCTGGTGGTGGGATCGTCCCTGCAGGTATTTGGCTGGGTCAAGGTGGTAACTGCCTTTTGCTCCCTCCTGTTTGGACTGTCTTGCCTGCATCTATTGACTTCTTACATTGTCTTCCGTCTGGGCAGGTGTACTCTGGTTACAGGTTTATCCTCACCGCCCGGGAGAAGAAGCTACCTATTGCCATACTGAACATTGGGCCCACAAGGTCAGATGACTTGGCCTGTCTGAAACTGAATTCTCGCTGCGGGGAGCTGCTGCCTCTTATAGACGCACAGTGACCACAGCCTGACCTTCCTCAGCCAAACAGGGACTTTCCCTGAGTCCCGCTGCTAAAGGTAAAGGTCTGCTCAGATACATCGTGGTTCCCATTGGACCGAGTAACGGGGTGCCACAGTTCTAGGCTTCTTAGTATATGGCTGTTCTTTACTAAAACTAATTTTTTTGTTGGTTTGGTTTTGGGGTTTTTTTGGTCCTGAAACCCAGGAATGAGCCTTTTTTATTTGGTGGTACTGGGAGTTTGAATTTACAGCCTTGATTTGCTAGGCAGGCACTGTACTACTTGAGCCACATCCCCAGCTCTGTCATTGTTTTTTAAAATGTACTTTTTTCCCAAATATTTAAAAAATTTCCCTCCAAAATAGGTAATGGATTTATATGCTTCAAAATTAGAATGGTATAAAAATGATCTAAACTGAAATTGTTCAATCTACCTGTATTTCTCAGTCATCCAGTTCCTCTTAGAGTTATGATACTGCATTGTATGGGTGTATCCTTGTATACATTTGACTTATATTTATACTTACACATATTTCTTGATGAGCCATTAGTGTTACAGGCATCATGATGCTTTAATCCACAATACTAAAGTATTGGGGAGGGATTGATTCAAGTGGAATAGTGCCTGCCTAGCAATCTCAAGGCCAGAGAAAACCAGTGTGAAAAACCCAGTGTGAAAAAAAAAGCCTCAAGTAGTTATATATTCATGTATCTCATGGGAAAAAACACATTTTTAAAAACTATAGTTAACTCTACCCTGAAATCTGGCATTGATGAAACGCTTTTATCAGGGCTGGGGATGTAGCTCAGTGGTAGAGCACTTGTCTGGCATGCACAAGGCCTGGTGTTTGATCCCCAGAAACCAAAACAAACACTTTTATTTATATTCAAATTCCCCCAGTAGTCCCAGTAATTTCTTTCATAGGTTTGCTTGTGATCCAGCATCTAATTGAAGTTTAGATACTACATTTAGTTGTCATGCCTTTAATTGCCTTTAGTCTAGGTCAGTTCTTCAGACTTCATTATTCAAGGCATTTTTGAAGAGTCCAGGCCAGTTGTTTTATGCAATGTGTATCTCTCTGCGCCCCCTTCCATTATTAGATTCTGGATAAGCATTTTCAGCAGAAATACAACATAGCAGGGCTAGGGGTATAGCTCAGTGTCAGTGATACGATACTTGCCTAGGACATTTGAGGCCCTGAGTTCAATCCTCAGCACCGCCAAAAAAAAAAAAAAAAAGAAAGGTTAAAGAATTAGGAAATCTGAAAAAAAAAAAAAGAGGGGGTGATGAAAATAGGTGGAAAATGGTTCCACTATTCAATTATAGCAAATTATAAACATACGCAAAAGTAGCAAACAGTATAATGAACTAGGTAGCCATCACCAGACTTCAGTTACAGTCAGCATATGGCCAGTGGCTCAGACCCAGGGCCTTGTGCATGCTAGGCAAGCACTACCACTGAGCTACGCCCCAGCTCTACATGGCCACCCTTGTTTTAGCTGCATCCCGCTTACTCTGTCATACCCTCTCTCTGCCATTGGATTAAATACCAGACGTTATTTTCATTTGTAAATACTTAACTATATTATCTCTAAATCTTTTTTACAATCGTAGTATAAAATCACACCTTAAAAATTAATAGTAGTTCCATCAAATATTCCAGTTACCAGATTTTCCTGGGTTGTCTCTTCTTTGAGTGTTAGCTTGTTTGAACCAGAATCCAAACACGCTCCTGAAAACTGCATTTGGTAAATCATGTATTTTAAATCCATTTTAATCTATGAGCAAAATTACATTTAAAAAAAAAAACGTTTTAAAATTATTTTTGTTTCCTTTTGCTTTGTTTTTGAGACAGAAGAATCTCACTAACTTTGCCTAGGCTGGCTCTGTCTTGGCCTCCCAAGTGCTGACATAAGCTCTGTGGTGTGCCACCACACTCAGTGGTCTTTTCTGTCTCTCTCTTTCTGTGGTTCTGAGGGTACTTGGGGCCTCACACTTGCTAAACAGGCACTCTACCACTTGAGGCATGCCTCCAGCCTCCCATATACTTTTAAACTTGTTTTGTATTATCAGAATAATACATATTTATTGTAAAATTTAGGTGACACAGATAAAAGAATATGAGTTACCCATAATCTCATCACCAAACAACCAAAGTTATTCTGGTAGAACTAGAACTAAATCTTGCTTTTATTTATTTTATTTAGTGCTGGAGATAGCTGTGCTTAGTGTTTTTTGGCAGTACTTGGGTTTGAACTCAGGGCCTCGTGCTTGCTGGGCAGGCACTCTATCACTTGAGCCACCTCATCAGCCCTTCTTTTGCGTTGGGTATTTTTGAGATAGGCTCTCTTGAACTGTTTGCCCAGCAACCCTCCTGATCTCTGCTCCCGAGTAGCTAGGATTACAGGTGTGAGCCACTGGCACTTTAGTGTTTTGTTGTGTCCTGTTTTCACTGAATATATATAGTGTCTATTGTTCTATGAACTCAGTGTAATGGTTTTGAGTGGGGAGGCTGATTTTCACAATCATTCCCTCCAACCCATTCTGAGCTTATTTTCCCATTAACTTGTTTCTTTTTTTTTCAGATTCCTAAGGATTCATCCCTTTTTCCTCAAACTAATAGAAGCTCCCTGATTGCATGCAGTAGAGGGCAGCAAACCAACGTCTCTCAGCCAGCCCATCTCAGAACCACCCAGCTTTCAGAGCAGGGGTTAAAGTCTTCAGATGGATGAGATTTGCCCTGAAGACTTTGAAAGAAGCAGCTGCTCTTGATGGGAAAACTGCAATCATTTCCTTTTATGTCACCTGGCAGAAGAAACAGCCTGGGAAATGTGTAGGCCAGAGTGGTCTCCAGAGTGCTAACCCAGAGATTTCACTAATTTGGGGAATAAGGGTAGAAGGAAATTGCTTAATTTATAATTCTAAATGGTTGTGTTTTTAACCGAGCCATTTTGATATATTTTTTTAAAAAATGAGTGATAACATGAATGAATTTTTTTATTAACCAAAGAATAATCATTTTTAATAGCACATTGCGTGTGTGGGCTGCATATATTTAACCAGCTAAAAAGAGAATGGGGCTTTATGACACAGTTCTCTAAGTATTTCTACTTGATGCCAGCTGTCAGACTGAGACTTCTGCCTTGAACCTTGTTTGTGGAGAGAAAACAGTGAATTCCCACATGGGAAGTTAAGTTGAGTTGTTTCTGCTCAGGAAAGCAGCAAGACTTGTTTGATTACTACGTTAGCCAGAAAGAATCAATGTACCCTGAAGAGTGAAGTGGATGGAACAATCACAAGCCATTCCAGAAGGCCCTTTGTCTAAAATTAGGGCAGGCAGTACACACTTGTCCTGCACCTGCCTAGGAAGCAAATTTCAGTTCAAGAAATCCAAGATGTCAAAAACACAAAGAGTTCTTTTCATCAGCATAAGTGTAGGTTTTCTCAGAATCATTAATCCTGAAGAGCTATAGAGTTGTAAATCTCATTCCAGCTTTTTGGCAGATGGGATCCTAAGGTGTTTTGAAACATATTCTCAGTTCTTCAAAGTAAGTACTAACAACTGTACTAAAATCTGTGTCTTTTGGATCTCAAGCCATTCTCATCCTCAAATCTCATTAATAGTTACTAAGGTATTAAGGATACAAAGATACCACTTCTTGGGTATAGCACCTGTCTAGCAAGCATGAGGCCTTGAGTTTAAACCCAGTACTGTCAAACAAAACAAAACAAAAGCAAAACAAAGATACCACTTGTGCTCTGAAGTAGCTCAGAAAATATACTCTCCTACCTCCACCCTTATTCTCTACCAGAAAATGTCAGAGTACTGCACACAGTGACAAAAAATTTAGCCCTTCCCCTCATTATTTTTATTTATTTATTGCACTGCTGGGATAGAACCTTACCTTACTTTACCTCACACATGCTAGGCAAGCACTCTTTTTTTTTTTTTTAAGACAAGGATTATGTAGCCCAGCCTGGCCTTGAATTCAAAATCCTGCCTGTACCTCCTAAGTGGTACAGCTTCTACCACCAGTTTTGAAGAAACTAAGGTCCAGATCAGGTCTTTTCTTGTTATTTACTTAATTTCTTTGTGGTGCTGGAGATGGAACCTAGGATCTTGTGACAAATGCTCTACCACTGAACTACATCCCCAGCCAAGTCTTTTTAAACAATGCTTCTCATTTGTGTGAAGATCATGGTTAGATTATGGACGACTGTGTCAGCCAAAAATTGAAGTAAAAGCCAGCAAGTACACCTAACCAAGGAGACCAGGATTCATTAAAATGTGGTAGGCAGGGCTGGGGATGTAGCTCAAGTGGAAAACAGGTGCAAGGCCTTTTTTTTTTTTTTTGCAGTGCTGGGGTTTTGAACTCAGGGCCTTCACCTTGAGCCACTCCACCAGACCTTTTTTGTGTTGGGTTTTTTCGAGATAGGGTCTCATGAACTATTTGCCCAGCCTGGCTGGCTTGGAACTACAATCCTCCTGATCTCTGCCTCCTGAGTGGCTACGACTACAGGCATGAGCCACCAGAGCCTGGCAAATTTTATGAGTAAACACTATAGGGCTTTTTTTTTTTTTTTCTCTCAGGGCTTCACGCTTGCAAGGCAGGTGCTTTACTGCTTGAGCCACTTCACCAGCCCTAATTTTTATGTCATAAAACATAAATTTCACTTCATGACAAAAAAAAGTTCAACCCAAGAAGAGATTTTTTTCCCCCTTCGTTTATTAGAAAAGGAATACAGCATGGAATTGAAACTCTTAAGGTTTGGACCTATGTGAATTTCAGTCCCAGTGTTGCTACTTACTAGTTAGATGAACTTGGGCAAGTTATTTAATCTGCAGGGGGTTTTGGTGGTGGTTCTTATGGAACTGGGGTTTGAACTCAGGGATTGTTGCTAGGCAGGAGTTGTACAGTTTGAGCCACGACCCCAGCCCTTCACAACGCGTTTGTTCACTTAAGTCCCACAACTGTAAGATACGTGATATGAGCACTATAATTTCTTTTTAAAGAGGATCCTCGCAGCTTGTGTGGCTTAGTGGGCAAGGCTCTGGGTTCAATCCCCAGCACTGTAAAAAAAACAACAAAACAACTAAAAGATGAGGATCCTGAAGCACAGGAAACTCACACAAGGTCACCCAGTGTTGGTCGTGTATTCAATTTCCCAAACCTGTCGGGTTCTGATCTCTTTCTTGGTCTTTAATACTATAGAAACCTGCCCCAACTCCCGGGGGTTGGTAGCACAGAGGCTGAGCCAGGAGGATCAGAGTTCCAGGCCAGCCAGAGCTACACAGCAAGACCCTGCCTCAAAACAAAACAAAAATCCTGTAGAACCCGTTGGAGTAACTCAGCAACAGTACCTGGGGAAGGTTGAAGGGTAAAGCTTAAGGAACTCCGAGTAGCCTAGGCTGGGTCCTGAAAGATGCACAGAGTCCACCAGGCGGGAAAAGGAAGAGCATTGCAAACAGAGAAGACAATAAATGCAAAAGCCTGGAGGATAGACCAGCAAATCCCTTCGCTTTCTATTTTTCTCTTCAAGGCAAGGATGGAGATTTATACCTGAGCCTGGGGCTCCTCAGAGGCCTGGGTTTGCCCAACACCCCGTCGCTTCTCTGCTTGCCCATCGCTTGACTGCTCGCTTTACTTCTCAGCCCCTCACTTTCCCCAACCACCACCTTCCTCCCAGGAATAAATAACGTAGGGGTTACAAACTGGAAACTGAGGGGGGGCGAGCACAGCAGAAAAGTTGGCTTTACTGTCACACCCAAGTGAATTCGGCTTCTTTTCATACTCAACCGCCTATTCTACCCTTCCTGCGGAGGAGTGGATCAGGAGGGCGCGTTCACTATTCGGAGCATACACTGATTGTAGCCACTAGTACCCGGCATGGCGCACGCGCACTCTCGGACCCCTCCCCCGCCCGCGCGCGAGGGGCGGAGCCTGAATTTGAGCCGTAAGGAGGTAGGCCAGTGGCTGGGCCGCTGTGCACCAATGAACAAGAGAATCTCGAGTCACGTGACCATAAACTATCCAATCACACACCCTACTCTGTAATCTAGGTTTAGAGTGGGAACCAGAGATTGAACGGTGGGTATGCAGGACCACGTGGCATGAAAAGGTAAACACAGCCACGTGGGGTTTTTTTTCTCTGAGGCCATAAGGTTACACCATACTATATTTTCGTGGAACAATTATTTAATAAGCGTATTGTGGGGACTGGAGGTGTAGCTCAAGTGGCAGAGTGCCTGCCCTTTGCTAGTGTGAAACCCTGAGTTCAAACCTCAGTCTCACCAGAAAAAAAGAGTTAGTGTATTGTGTATTAGGCACTGTGAAGATGCCAGTGGCTGCTGCAATGTAATTCCATTTCAAATTACGATCAGGCTAATTTACTTAGGTACCTACTCAAATCACCCTAGCCACATTACTAGAATTTACTTCATTACCCTTCGCACAATGATTGCTCATCAAAAAGAGCGTTAAAGAAATTTGTTACGGTTGTCAGTGACTGACGCCTGTAATCCTAGCTACTGGGGAGGCAGAGATCAGAAGGAACTATTAGAACTCAGCCCTGGGCAAATAGTTTGTGAGACCCTATTTGGAAAAACTCCATCACAAAAAAGGGCTGGTGAGGGGGGAGAAATGACCCAAGCATTGTATGCACATATGAATAAAAAAAAAAAAAAAGGGCTGGTGGAGTGGCTCAAGGTGTACACCCTTAGTTCAAAACCCAGTACTGAAAAAAAATTTTTTTTGTTGTGTTTTTTGCAGTACTGGGATTTGAACCGAGGTCTTCACAGTTGCCAGGCGCTCTACAGAGAAATTTATTATTTCTCTCCCAACCCTTGGATTAATAAAAAAGATGTTGAATTTTACAAAAAGGGGATATGTCTTTAGTACTCACGTGGCCCTGCTTTCTTGTTTCCTACTGTGAAAAAAAAATGGGACTATACACCAATCTTCTAAAAGCCTACTTTTCTTCTATTTGAGGAGGACTTGCAGTTTCTTTCCATTAAAAGATGTTTGCTTAAGGCCTTTACAATTTGTTGATGGCTCATCGCCCACTGTGAGTATTGATAACACTTCCTTTAGTGTTCAGCAGCTGTTTACTGAGTGACCCCAAAGTGCCAGGTACAGTATGAGGCAGGAGGGGATTCAAAGATGACCAAGACATCTCAGTTTTGACTTCAACAAGTTTACAATCTGGTGGCACTTCTCTAAGAAGATTTGGACTCCAAACCAGGTATGCCACCAGGAAACAAGTGACCTTTGAAATCACTTACCTCTTTGAGCCAGTTCCCTTATTTGTAAAATGTGGCTGTAATAATACAACTAGAGATGCAAGAATAACTAGATAATTGTGCAAAGAAAATCTTCTGGTGCATTAAACATAGTATATGTAAGGATACCAGTTTGAAGAACAGGGAAAAAGTCTCAGAGCAGACTGAATTGCAGAGCTACTAACAATAACTGTCTTGACCACATGTGGTGGCACATAGCTGTAATCCCAGCATTCAGGGGTTGAGGGAGGTGGATCATGAGTTAGGTCAACTTGGGCTACACAGTGAGACTCTCAAGAAAAAAAACACCTCAAAAAAACTGGAGAGGGAGGCGTGGCTCAAGTGATAGAACACCTGCCTAGCAAGCACAAAACCCTGAGTTCACACTCCAGTACCACCATGAAAAAAAAAAAAAAGTTGACTCCAGGTCCAAACACTGTATTCTCAGCACTTTGTGTGCATCCTGGCTCAAGGTAAATGTTCAGTAGGCAGTCATTGAATGAACTGATGAAATGAGGAAGATAGTGGGACAGAAATAACTCTGTGCATATTCCCCTCTTCAAACTGAAGGGTCTTTTGCTGTCTGCCACTTGTCCAGAAGTGGCACTGTTCTTTCAACCTCCAATGGTTTGAAACGGCTGCTTGATGACTTCTCATAGTCTCTATTGTCCTTCTGTTTTGTTTTGAGCCAGAATCTCACTATGTAACTCAGGCTGGCCTTGAACTTGAAATCTTCCCACGTCAGCCTCCTGAGTGCTGGGATTACAGGCATGTGTCATCTCCTTTCTCTGCCCCTCACTCTGGTGATTCCATTGCCAGTGTAGTCATAAATATTCATGGAGAAACTTAGCTGGGTAATTTAGTGTTTAAGAGCTCAGGCACTGCTGGAAGACAGATCTCTTGAATCCTGGCTTTGCCGTTTGTGTGATCTTGGACAAGTGACATATCCCCTCTGAGTTTTTGAGTTTCTCATCCATTAAATGAGAGGCGTTGTTATGCCAATATCACAGAGCTGATTTAGACATTTAATGAGATGTGGAAAGCTCTTATCACAGAGGGGTATGCCATAACTGCTTAATCACAGAAGCTGCTGTTACTGCTTTTTTTGTTGTTGTTTGGTGGGACTGAAGTTTGAACTCAGGCTTTGCACTTGCAAAGCAGGTGCTCTACTGCTTGAGTCACACCTCCCGTCCATTTTGCTCTGGTTATTTTGGAGATGGGATCTCACCAACTGTTTGTCTGGGCTGGCCTCAAACCACAATCCTCCTGATCTCAGCTTCCCAAATAGCTAGGATAACCACCATGAACTGGACTGTCTTTGAAGAGTTTAAAAGAGGTAATAATAATTGGGTGTGGTGGTACATGCCTGTAGTCCTAACCCTTAGAAAGCTAAGGCAGGAGTTCCACACCAGCCTGCACTAAATACTGCAACTCTGGAAAGAGAGAGAGAGAGAGAGAGAGAATGAGAGAGAGAGAGAGAAGAAAGCAATGCTTTAAGACAATTGGGAATGGAGGCGGATGAATGGGATGAATGAGAGGGAGTGAGATCTGGCTCAAACTAGGCCCTAGTCCACCACATGGGCATGTGGCCTCAGCTTAGAAAACTAAGATTTGCTCATAGCACTACTACCTATAGGGGCTACCAGAAGATTTAGAGACACACAGTCCTGGTGCAGAGTAAATAGTCAGTTGACGATGGTCAGTAATTATTGTTCACACTTCAAGGACATTTCCTGGACATGTCCTTCCAATTCAACTTCAGCTTCCAAGGCTGGAAGGAATGATGTTCACAAAAGATCCAGTTATGATCAGTAGCCAGAGAACATAACAAAATCCAAACATGAGATCTTTCAACAAGGTGCTTTATTGGAAGGCACAGTGTAAGGTGAAAGCAACAATGCAGGTCGGGATGACACTTCTTAGAGGTGACACTTGTTTCTAACAGGATGTCTTTTTGTTCAGGTCTTTGTGCTCCTCAATGTATGGAGCCTTGGAGAAGCAGATGGCAGCTGTGCGGTCACAGTTACAGATGAAGGCCTCGCACTCTGAGTTTTTGCCTGGACAGTGATAAGAGGAGAAAGCTGAGCCAAGGAGGCACTGCTTTATATGATTCAGAGACAGGAAGAAGCTGGCAGTGTGGTTCAAGTGGTAGAGCACCTACCTAGCAAGCGTGAGGCCCCAAGTTCAAACCCCATTGTCCCCTCCCCCCCACACACAAATAGAGGTAGAAAGAGTTCATGGGAATGGCCATTCTATTTGTACAAATTTAGGGTTGAGAGACAAAGCAAATAAAAATATACTGGGGTGCCCAGTTCCATTTGACTTTCTAAGAAACAATGAAAATATTCTGCAGGATACAGTTATAATGAAAAACTGTTGTTTATCTGAGAGTCAAGTAGAACTAGCATCCCACTTTTGATCTGGAGATCTGAAAGCATGAAAGCTGCATTTTTGAAAGTCCTGTGTACTTCCTACCCTATGTGAACTTGCTGATTTCAAAACCTGTAGCATTACGGGTCTCTGATAACCTAGACAAGCAGTTACGAGCCCTAAAGAGAACATGAAAATGTGTATTTGACACTGGGGATGTACGTCAGTGACACTGGGGATGTACGTCAGTGGTACAGCACGTGCTTAGCATGCATCAGGCTCTAGGCTTGATCCCAAGCACCACCACCCCCACCACACACAACACAAACGTAACATTTAAAATGCATTTGAGGACTGGGGCATGGCTCAAAGTAGTGGAGCTCTTGCCTGGCAAATGCAAGATCCTGAGTTCAATCCCTAGTATTGCAATATAATAATAATGATGATAATAATAATAATAATAGTTGGTGGAGTGGCTCAAGCAGTAGAGCGTGAAGTCCTGAGTTCAGTCCCCAGTACTGCCAAATAGTAATTAATAATAATAATAATACATCAGAGGCTGGGAGTATAGCTCAGTGGTGGCATACTTGCTTAACTTGAGGCCCTGGGCTCAGTCCCCAGCACCAGAAGAAAAAGCTATATGCTTAAAGCAGCAAAGTATTGTACATTTCAATTTGGCAATGTTTAGTAAACCAATTTCTCTGCCTTAAAATACATTTATTTCTTTTTTTTTTTTTTGGGAAACAATTTATTTCTTTAAACGGTAGTAATAGTCTTTTTTTTTTTTTTAATGGTGTAACCACTGGGCTGTGGTTTTAATTATTTATGTGACATTACATGATCTCATTTCTTTTTTTTTTTTTTTTCATTTTTCTTTTATTATTCATATGTGCATACAAGGCTTGGTTCATTTCTCCCCCCTGCCCCCACCCCCTCCCTTACCACCCACTCCACCCCCTCCCGCTCCCCCCCTCAATACCCCGCAGAAACTATTTTGCCCTTATCTCTAATTTTGTTGTAGAGAGAGTATAAGCAATAATAGGAAGGAACAAGGGGTTTTGCTGGTTGAGATAAGGATAGCTATACAGGGCATTGACTCACATTGATTTCCTGTGCGTGGGTGTTACCTTCTAGGTTGATTCTTTTTGATCTAACCTTTTCTCTAGTTCCTGGTCCCCTTTTCCTATTGGCCTCAGTTGCTTTAAGGTATCTGCTTTAGTTTCTCTGCATTAAGGGCAACAAATGCTAGCTAGTTTTTTAGGTGTCTTACCTATCCTCACCCCTCCCTTGTGTGCTCTCGCTTTTATCATGTGCTCATAGTCCAATCCCCTTGTTGTGTTTGCCCTTGATCTAATGTCCACATATGAGGGAGAACATACGACTTTTGGTCTTTTGAGCCAGGCTAACCTCACTCAGAATGATGTTCTCCAATTCCATCCACTTACCAGCGAATGATAACATTTCGTTCTTCTTCATGGCTGCATAAAATTCCATTGTAAAATACATTTATTTCTAAATTTACAGAACATCTGAAGAGGAATATTATAGATGTTTAGAAGAATTAGGTATGTCTATGTATGGACTTGTTTCCCAGATCATTGCTGGGGACAGAGTTTCACTGTGTAGCTCAGGTTGGCCAGAACTCACTATGTAGACCAAGCTTCGAGCTCCAGATCCTCCTGCCTCAGCCTCCCAAGTACTGGGATTATAGGTGTGCCCTCCACACTCAACGTTCCAAGAGTCTTTAAAAAGGAAAAGGAGCTACTATATGCCTGATATGTCTCAGAAAACATGTCTGGAATCCACAGAAAGGAACACTTACAGATCAAACTGCAATGCAAAAATATATTTATTTGTTATTTTGAGACAGGGTCTTGTTAGTTTTTTTTTTCTTTTTTTGGTGGGACTGGGATTTGAACTCAGCATTTAGTGCTCACAAATCAGGTGCTCTACCACTTGAGCCACATCTCTAGAAAACTTTTCTCTGGTTATTTTGGAGATGAGGTCTCATGAACTATTTGCTTAGGCTGGCCTCAAATCGTGGTCCTCCTGATCTCAGTCTCCCAAATAGCTAGGATTACAGGTGTGAGGCACAGGCACCTGGCTAGGGTCTTGCTATGTAGCCAAGGTTGGCCCTTAACTTTCAGTCCTCCACCTCAGTCTGCCAAAGAGTCACAAGTATGTGCCACCATGCTGGGCTATATGGTTTCTTTTTGCTTTTTTGTTTTTGGTGCTGGTGATTGGTTTGGGGGCAGGGCTTCCCAAATGCTTAATACACTCTTCATCACCGAGCTGCATCCCCAGCCCCATAGTGCAAAAGTGATTTCCCATCTATTTTGCTTTCTAAAGTGGGACACAACCTAAATGTCTGTTACTAGGAAGACGTGGAAGCGAATTGTGATATTTATACAGCAATTAGAATAGTAACTATGACCACTATTCATAGTGGCACTAGAGACCAATAGCAGGGTGTTAAGTGAGAAAAGGTAGAATTCGAGAGTCACCAAATGTTCACTGAGCACTGACTGTCTGCAAGGCTCCTCTCTAGATCCCGGGGATACATCAGTGAAGAAAAGAAAAAGCAATCTCTTAGCCACACATGACGGTGTACACTTGTAATCCCTGCTCTCAGGAGGCACGTGCAGGAGGATTGCGACTCAACAGCCTGGCCACATAGCAAGACCCTGTCCCAGAGAGAGAGAGAGAGAGCGAGCTTGTGGGTCCTACACTCTATTGGAAACAGAAAATAAGTAAGTTAAATACACAGATAGTAATTAAGTCTGTGGAGAAAATACAGCAAAGAAGGAATAGAGAGAGTGATGGAAGGACAGAAGGAGTATTATGGGATTTTAAAGAAAGGGACGTTTGTTCTCGCCAGGCAGGCAAGAACATGACTGCTTGAGTTATGCCTCCAGCCCTCCCCCCCCCGTTTTTTGTGTTTGGTATTTTTGAGATAGGGTCTCACTTTTTGTTTTTTTTTTTGCCAGGTTGGCCTCAAACTGCAATCCTCCTGATCTCTGCCTCCCAAGTAGCTAGGATTACAGGCTTGAGTCACCGGTGCCCAGCAATATTTGTCCATTATTTATTCACCAAGACTTCTCTCCCCTCTCTCCTCCTCCTCTTTTTCTTCTTCTTCTTCTTTTTTTTTCAGTGCTGAGGGGCTAACCTAGGACTTTGTGCTTCCAAGGCAAGCACTCTACCACTGAGCTACTCCTCCAGCTCCAGAAAGAGAAATTTGAAGGCCTCAGATGCGGTGTGCCAAGCAAACAGGTGGCGGTCAGTGTTCCAGGCAGGAGTAAGGAAGGATTTCAGGTGGGTGCATGCATAAGGCAGGATCATGCCTACCTGTGATTAAAATTATGTAACCATTATTCCAAGGATAAGGGTAAAGGGAGGGAAGCATGAAATGATTTCCTGGCATTTTGGGATTTGAATCATGGTAATTCCACCGTTGATTGTACAGTTTTGAAAAGTCGGACCTGCCAATGAGTGCAAAACAGAGTATGATGCTTGAGACCATGGGTTCTACCATCCTCAGCACTAAAGAAAGAAAGAGAGGGAGGGAGAGGAGGACGAGGAGGAGGAGGAAGAGAAAGAAGAAAGCAACACCATTAACAACAGGTGTTGGCGAGGATGCGGGGAAAAAGGAACCCTCTTACACTGTTGGTGGAAATGTAAACTAGTACAACCACTCTGGAAAAAAATTTGGAGGCTACTTAAAAAGCTGGACATGGATCTACCATTTGATCCAGCAATACCACTCTTGGGGATATACCCAAAAGACTGTTACTCCAGAGGCACCTGCACATCCATGTTTATTGTGGCACTATTCACAATAGCCAAGTTATGGAAACAGCCAAGATGCCCCAGCACTGACGAATGGATTAAGAAAATGTGGTATCTATACACAATGGAATTTTATGCAGCCATGAAGAAGAACGAAATGTTATCATTTGCTGGTAAATGGATGGAATTGGAGAACATCATTCTGAGTGAGGTTAGCCTGGCCCAAAAGACCAAAAATCGTATGTTCTCCCTCATATGCAGACATTAGATCAAGGGCAAACACAACAATGGGATTGGACTTTGAGCACATGATAAAGTGAGAGCACACAAGGGAGGGGTGAGGATAGGTAAGACACCTAAAAAGCTAGCTAGCATTTGTTGCCCTCAACGCAGAGAAACTAAAGCAGATACTTTAAAGCAACAGAGGCCAATAGGAGAAGGGGACCAGGAACTAGAGAAAAGGTTAGATCACAAAGAATTAACTTAGAAGGTAACACACACGCACAGGAAATCAATGTGAGTCAATGCCCTGTATAGCTATCCTTATCTCAACCAGCAAAAACCCTTGTTCCTTCCTATTATTGCTTATACTCTCTCTTCAACAAAATTAGAGATAAGGGCAAAATAGTTTCTGCCGGGGATGGAGGGGGTGGGGGGGTAAGGGGGGAGAGGGAGAAGGGTGGGGGAAGGGGGGAGAAATGATCCAAACATTGTATGCACATATGAATAAAATAAATAAAAAAGAAGAAGAAGGAGGAGGAGGAAGAAGAAGAAGAAAAAGGAGGAGGAGGAGGAGGAGGGAGGGAGGAGGACAAGGAAGGAAATAAAAGAAAAGAAAGAATGAAAAAGAAAGGAAGAAAGAAAGAAAAAAAAGGAAAAACAATTCCTGCCTAAAGCATGAGACCCTGAGTTCAAACCCCAGGTGCTACAAAAAAAAAAAAAAAAAAGGAAAACAGAGAAAATCCGGAATGGTGACCTGGCATGACAATATCCTTCACTTTTCTGAATTGTCTGCTCAGAGATATAATAAAGAGAGAGAGAGAAGGAAAGAAAGAAAGAGCCTGACGTCTGACGTGGTGGAGCAGTGGTCCAGGCTACTCAGGAGGTAGAGATGGAAGATCGCGTCCGAGACCAGTCCTAGCAAAGTTAGCCGGAGACCCTATCTGAAAAAAAACAAAGCAAACTACAAGCAAAAGGACTGGGGGAGTGACTCAAATAGTACGATGCCCGCCTTGCAAGCATGAGGCCCTGAGTTCAAACCCCAGGTCTTGCAATAGAAGAAAAAAAAAAAAAGAGAGAAAACCTAGAATGCTGGGCTAGTATGACAAACCCCTTCACTTCTCTGAGTTGTCTGCTCAGAGATAAGAAGAGCCTCCACAGAGGGACTTGTCTCATCCTGTCACCTCAGAGCCTGATGCTTAAATGAGAGCCTTTTAAATCAAATGAAACTAAGTTCAGCTGTCAACTACCACTTGTCAAACTATGATTTGGGGCAAATGAATGTCTTTGAGCCTCATTTCAAATGTCTTTGAAATGAGAATGGTAAAACCTGTCTTGTATACATCCTTCACCCAATATCTGGCATAGTTGATAAAATAGCCTAAAAGTGGTATAGCTAAATAGCCTAAATAAATGATATAGCTCTCAACTCTTTATTAAACAAAGAAGCAGTGTAGCTTAGTAATTAACAGGAGAGGCTTTAGAGTCATGTAGAGCTGTGTTCCGAAACCAAACGCTATCATTTGTAAGCTGTGTGATTTTGGGCAGATGGTTCAGTCTTCCAAGCCTCGGTTTCCTCATCTGTATAATGGGGATAATAATAGTACTTATTCCATAGGGTTGTTGTGAGGTTAAATGAGACCAAGAAAATGATCAAGAATGGGAGGAGGGAGGATAAAGGAGAATGATGGAGGGGGTGAATTCAATTATGATACCTTGTAAGAACTTTGGTAAATGTCACAATGTACCCCCCAGCACAGCAATCATAAAAACAAATCTAAAAAGGAAAATGATCAATAGATCATGGCTATCATTGCTACAATATCCCCCCAGGCCTGCTGAGGGCCAATGAGAATCCCTAGGTCAAGAAGAGGCAAAACGTACTGCTGCAGGTGATTTCGGTGCCAGAGCACGAGTACGAGTAAGTGTTGGTGTAGGGGTTGTCCAGGAGGATCTTACAGCCGGACAGCTTCTTGGCCTCGGTGTAGCAGTTGTCATGTGTCTGGCAGCACCTGGAGAGGAGGAGGAACAGCTGAGGAAGGCAGTAGACAGGCACAGAGGTCAGCCCTCACCTGCCGTCTCTCAGTAACAGGTGGGGATGACTTAGCCAAGATGCTTCTGGAGAAATGGCCTTATGGCTTGAAAAACTATAAGCCCTCTCTTATCACATGTTTATTAAAAAGTTATTTCAACATGGTTGTGGGACTATAGAAAAATTATATATTCTGAAGATGCAATGACACTTTTATTTAAAGAAGGACTGATGAGACACTGGGATTGGGATGGTGATGGTTGGTGCCACTAGAGGGCAGCATCTCCCCCTATTTTACATCTGGGACAGTCTGCTTTCCATTCCTCTGCAGGGAGCATTGAAACCTTCTTGACAGGACAAGAGGCGAACATGTGGCTATCCTTAGCAAATATGCACGTCCCTCCTGAGATCCTTGGTTTGTGCCCTGTCCCCCCTCAACACAGACACTCCAATCTCCCTCCAGATGGAACCCTTACCTGTCCAGATCGTCCACGGGGGTCCCCGAGCCCCCCAAGCCACAGTAGCAGCCATAGTTGTTGAACTCCTTGAAGGGGCTACTCCCGGGGATGGCGCACTTGATCATGCCACTGAACTGCCACACCGCCCGAGGGCCGATGCTGTATGCAGTAGCGCCCACTGCAAGAAATCAGCAAGTTCAAGGGCTGTGGGGATGTGGGGGCGGGGCGGGGGGGTTGGTGTGGCTCAAACGGTAGAGCACCTGCTTTGGAAGCACAAAGCCCTGAGTTCAGACTCTGGTCCCACCAAAACATAAATCAAATGAACCCTTCCGTGGTTTGTAAATGCTTTCACAAGGTGTGCCAACATCACCGCTAAAGCTTGACACCGGTGACTCATGGTGCTACTCAGGAGGCAGAGATCAGGAGGATGGTGGTTCGAAGCTAGCCCCGGGGAAATGGTTTTGAGAGTTCCCTATCTCGAAAATACCCAATACAACAAAGAGCTGGTGGAGTTGCTTAAGGTGTAGACCCTGAGTTCAAACTCCGGTATCACAAATAAATAAATATATAAATCACCACTAATTCCTAAATATTATCGTCATGGAAAAAAAACCCTGTACCTGTCAGTGGCTACCCCACTTTTCCCCTGCTCCTCCCTTCTGGTATCACCTGCTCTACTGCTTATCTTGATTTTTTTTCCATGCTGGATATTTCATGTAAATGGAGTCATACAATGTGTGGCCTTTTGTGTCTGGCTTCTTTCACTTAGTATGTTTTCATTTTGGGTTTTTATTTATTTATTTTCTGGCAGTGCTGGGGGATCAAACACAGGGCCTTGCGAATGTTTTTTGAGACAAGATCCTGCTGTGCAGCCCAGGCTGACCTTGAACTCTTGCTTCTTCTGCTTCAACCACCTTCTTCTTTTTTTTTTTTTTGGTGGTACTGGGGTTTGAACTCAGGGCCTTATACTTGCTAGGCAGGTGCTCTCCCACCACTTGAGATGCTCCTGCAGCTCTTTTTTTGTGTGTTGGATGCATCCAAGATAGAGTCCCTCAAACTATTTGCCTGGGGCTGGCTTTAAATCTCCATCCTCCTGATCTTTGCTTCCTGAGTAGCTAGGATTACAGGCATGAGCCATCGGTGCGGGGCTTCCTCAGCTGTCTGTCTGAGTACTGGGATTACAGGTGTGCACCACCATGCCCAGCTGGGGAATAGTTTCTGAGATTAAATTACATAGTGACCGATTTTTGCCTTGTTCACTCTCTTATTTGCTCAGTCTGAGGAAGGTCAGCTGCCATGCTGTGAGCTGCCCATGGAAGGGTCCGTATGGTAAGATGCTGAGGGCAGCCTCCAGCCAACAGCCAGGAAAGAACTGAGCTCTTAGTCCAGCAGCCCACAAGGAGCCAAATCCTGCCAAAAATCACAAATCTCAGATGAGATCCTATCCTCAGCCAGCACCTCAGTTGCAGCTCTGGAAGAGACCTTAAGCCAAAAGGGAAGCCCCAAGCCAGCCACACCCCCATTCCTGACCTACAGAAACTGAGACATGTTTACTGCTTCACACTGCTAAATTTCGAACTATTTTATGACATGCTATACATAACTGATACACAGGGCTGTTCATTATAGCATTATTTTAGCAACGTTTTAGACATTATTACCCCTCAGCAGAGGACTAGTTAAATAAATCAGGTTACAGCCTACAGTGGAATACTCTGCTGCCATTAAAATGAAGGAGACAGTCAGGTGCTGGAGGCTCACACCTGTAATCCTAGCTACTTGGGAGGCTGAGTTCGGGAGGATTGAGGTTTGAGACCAGTAAAACCTATCTCAAAAATACCCAACACAAAAAGGGACTGGTGGCTCAAGTGGTAGAGTGCCTGCCTAACAAATGTGAGGCCCTGAGTTCAAACCCCAGTTCTGCCAAAAAAAAAAAAAAATTAGGAGACAGGTGTCTATTGATACCTTCAAAGCAAAGTGAAAACAGTAAGGGGATGAGGGAGAGTGAGTGGAGGAGAGAGGAGACTTTGAAAGACCCGAGTTGCTACAGAGGTAGGCAGAAAACCAGGAGGAAAAAGGAAGGGTGAGCAAAAGGTGTGCCCCGGATCTGGGAGCCAGTGCACCAGGTTCTCAGGAAATTACCAGTGGGAAGACTATCTGAAGGCCTTTTTTTTTTTTTTTTTGCAGTACTGTAGTTCGAACTCAGGTCCTACACCTTGAGACACTCCACCAGCCCTTTTTTGTGATGGGTTTTTTTTGAGATAGGGTCTTGAGAACTATTTGCCTGGGCTGGCATCAAACTGTGATCCTCCTGATTTCTGCCTCCTAAGTAGCTAGGATTACAGGCGTGAGCCACCGGTGCCCACCCCGTAGGTCCATTTTGAGGCTGGGTGAAGATGGGTCAGGTCTGTGCCTCACTGTGACTGAAACCTGTCTCAGACTCCCTCAGCCCCAATATCAACCCTGCACCCATCTGCGGTTTCTCCCTTCTACAGACCCTGGAGTCTGCTTCATCTCTTCTTTCCCTCCACTGCCAGCCCTGCCCGGGCCACCACTGGACAAATTCTAGGAGGTGCTGTCCCCAGCAACACTCTCCCTTCTTCCCTCCTTGATCTACTCTCCACAAGTTCCCAGACTGATTTTTTTTGTTAAACTTGAGTTGTATCTTGTTACTCCTCCTTTAAACTTTCAACAAATGCCCTCTGCCTTTGGGTAAACCTCAAATTCTCTGTTCCCACAGAAGGCCCCTGAGGTCTGGCCTCTGCCCACCTCTCCTGTCTTATGTCATGTCACCTTCCTCCCATCCACTTCCCTGCACCTACTGGCCTTCGATCCCTGCCTCAGAGCCTGCATCACTCCCGTTCTCCTGCCTGGCACACTTGTCATCTACCTGCCTCCCTCCCTTCCATCCTTCTTTGTTTTTAGAGGCCAGGTCTCACTATGTAGCCTAGGCTGGCCTCTAACTCTTCATCCTTGTGCCTCCGCCTCCAAATGCTGGAATTCAAGAGTGCACCGCATCTGGCTGTCACCTAACTTTTCAAAAGGCTGGAAAGATCCTGCTTTAAATGCCACCTCTTCAAAGAGGCCCTCCTGGCCACCAGCTAAGTGGGTCCTCTGTCATCACTTCTGTTTGTGTTCTTTGCTTCATAGTACTTCAGACAGACTGCATGCATCAGTTTACTTAATTCCTCTCTCTCACCCTTGATAAGACATGAGCTCCTCAAGGCAGGTTTCCTGGCTTTTATGGCCTGCATTGCACACAGTATGCTCTCTCTCCTATATGCACACACACATATGTATACTTATATGTGAATATACTTATATGTGTATGTGAGGAGTTAAGTGATTAAGACAATAAATTAGTGAGTTTAAAAAAAAAAAGAAGGACCTGGCATCTGATAGGTGCTCCGTAAATTTTTGTTGAATGAGTGAACAAATACAGCTCCTAGCTGGGAGTATTCGCCCAAACCAAGTTCAAGGCTTAGCTCAGGAGACTCAGGCAAGTAGAGCCCTTCCCCCCATTTGCACAGAGCTCTACCCTGTGAGATTTTTTTTTTTTTTTGGCAGTATTGGGATTTGAACTCCAGGCCTCCATCTTGAGCCACTCCACCAGCCCCTTTTTTGTGATGGGTTTTTTTCAAGATAGGGTCTTGAGAACTATTTGCCTGGGCTGGCTTCAAACCTCGATCCTCCTGATCTCTGCCTCCTAGCCACCAGTGCCTGGCTACCCTGTGACATTTTAGAGTCTAAAGAGAAGAGAGCATAAGCTGGAAGTGGTGGTTCACTTCTGTAGTCCCAGCTACTCCAGTGGTGGAGGCAGGAGGATCATGAGTTCAAGGCCAGCCTAGGCAAAAGCTCTCTAGATTCCAGCTCAAAAAAAAAGGGGTGTGTGTGTGTGTGAAGGTTGGGAGTGTGGTTCAAGTGAGAGAGCTCTTGTCCAGCATGTGCAAAGGCCCTGGGTTTGATCCCTAGCATCTCAGACACACACACACACACACACACACACACACACACACAAAGTAAATGGATCAACAAGATAAGAAATTGCAGGTATTGGCTTAAGTGCTAGAGCGCCTGCCTAGCAAGTATGAGGCCATGAGTTCAAATTTCATACTACCAAAGACCAACCAAACAGAAACTGCAGCTACCAGGCACTGGTGACTCACACCTGTAATTCTAGCTACTTGGGAGGCTGAAATGGGGAGGATCGCAGTTTGAGGCCAGTCCAGATAAACAGCTTGTGAGATCCCATCTCCAAAATAACCAGAGCGAAATGGATTGGAGATGTGGCTCAAGTGTTAGAGCGCCTGCTTTGTGAGTACAAAGCCTGAGTTCAAACCCCAGTCCCACCAAAAGAAGAAAAATTGCAAGCAAAGGTGTGTTCTGGGAAGGGTGATATGCAGAGAGAAAGAAGGGGGAGCTTTCTTAGCTTGGGTGACCTTCTAAAGAGGGTCATTAGAGTTCAGACATGGAGGCTGAAAGGATGCCAGCCATGGAGGATTTGAAGTATGAGGGAGAACCCCAACCCAGGAGTTCTTAGGCTCCACAGGGAGCCTTGAATTGAGACTCCAGCTGAGGCCCGCCCTGTGAATTGTGACCTGGGCCCCCCCCCATCCAAGAGAAGGAAGATCTTAGCACACACAAAAGAGACAGGGGTGCCTTACCTGTGAGCAGAGCGGCCAGCACAAGGAATTTCATCTTGAGCGAGGACGAGGGCTAAAATGACTAGTGGCCTCCCTTCTTATAGTCTGGAGCCCCATGCCCCCAAGATAAGGCTGTTTGCTTTGCTCTCAGCCACACTGGGTTGGCCTTGAGTCTGTTGGGGGAACAACCTTGAGAGCTTTGCCTGCAAGGGATCCCTGGAAACAATGCCACGGATTTGTGGTCAGCACTTTTTAAACTACAGGGATGATTTTTGGAGATTGCAGATCTGCACTCTTGGTCCTCATTTGTTGTACTCAGCCTAGCTTAGTGAAGTGGGAGAGCAATCCTGGTGGACATCTGGGTGGAGGGGACAGGGAGGACATGACGGCTGCTTCCATGTCTTGTCAAGTCTGGGTGGTGGGTGTCATTGAATATTGCATCAGTCATGACTTTGCAGATGAGGATACAGGTGAAGTAATTTGCCCAACGCACCCAGCTGTCAAATAGCAAAGCAGAGTCTAATTCCAAGACACAATTCATATTTCTTCCTCCCCACTCTCCAGGGTGGGTTTGTGAGAAAATCCTGGGCTGTGGAGTTCCAAAGGTTTGGGTCTGACTTGTAGAATATAAAGTTTAGGACAGACATGAAATGTCTACTTAACGTTTTTTTAGGGGGGTGAAATTCACATGCTGTAACATTAACCACTTAAAGAACACAACTCAGTGTCCTCTAGTACATTTACTGTGCTCTGGGACCTTCTATGGAGGTCCAGCACTTTCTCATCACCCCAAGAAGAAACCTATACCCACTGGCAGTCATTGTTTCCCTAGTGACTACCAAGATGCTGTTTGTCTCCATACAGGTTGTGCATCCCAAATCCAAAATCTGAAACTTTTTTTTGCAGCACTGGGGTTTGAACTCAGGACCTACACCTTGAGCCACTCTACCAACCCTTTTTTGTGATGGGTTTTTTTCAAGATAGGATCTCGAGAGAACTATTTGCCCAGGATCTTGAACTATCTTGAAAAGCAAGATAACATGTTATCAGCCTATTTGCTGTCAAGAACTATTTGCTTGGGCTGGCCTTGAACCGCCATCCTCCTGATCTCTGCCTCCTGAGTAGGATTACAGGTGTGAGCCACTGGTGCCTGGCTTAAAATCTGAAACTTTTTGAGCACCAAGACGATGCCACATGCTGGGGACTGGTGGCTCACGCCTGTAATCCTAGCTACTCAGGATGCAGAGATCAAGAGGATCAGGCAAATAGTTCTCAAGACCCTATCTTGAAAAACCCTTCACAAAAATAGAGCTGGTGGAGTGGCTCAAGGTGAAGGCCCTGAGTTCAAGCCCCAGTACCACACACACACAAAAAAAATGCCACAAGTGGGAAATTGCACACCTGACTCCATGTGACAGGTCGCTGTCAAAACTCTGGTACAGGCTAAGCTCAGTGTTAGAGAGCTTGCCTAGTATACCTAAGGCCTGGTTCATCCCCAGCATCACAGAAAAAGAAAGAAAAGAGAGAGAGAAAAAAAAAAGAATGGAAGAAGGAAGGGAGGGAGGTAGGGGGAGAGGGAAGGAAGGAGGGAAGGAAGAAAGAAGCCGGGCACCAGTGGCTCACACCTGTAATCCTACTCAGGAGGCCTGAGCAAATAGTCCTTGATAGCAAATAACAGGCTGATAGCATGTTATCTTGCTTTTCAAGATAGGTCAAGATCCTATCTTCAAAACACCCAAAATACACAATGCAAAAAAGGACTGCAGAGTGGCCAGAGTGGCTCAAATTGGTAGAACACCTGCCTAGAGTTCAAACCCAGTGCCACCAAAAAAAAAAAGAAGAAGAAGAAGAAGAAAGAAATTCCATTTCCCAACCTCTGTAGCCACACTTGCAGTGCTTGGGAAGACATGTGTCTGGTGGCTGCCGTGTGACAGTCCAGACAGGGACTGTTTCCATCCTCACAAAGGTTGGTCACAGAGCCTATGGCAGTGCCAGCACAGAGCAGGTAGGGGCTGTGGCGGCCACTGCAGGGGGACTGAATTGTTCTGCCTCTTTGGCCCCAGCACAAGTGGTGGCTGCCCAAGGAAAGGAAAGATGTAGTTAGCCAAATGCTAAGTCCCTCTCTTGTGGGATTTTTTCAGGTCAGAACAAGACAGAGAAACAGGGAAACAGAGAAATAGGGACCCACTCCTGGATTTGGAGCTGGAGGATGCCATGTGGTGATTGGGGGGTGGTCTAAGGAAGGAGCAGCTGGTGCATCAAAGTTCTTTAAGACAGACAGTGATAACTGAGTGCTAACTCCATTCTAAGAACCTGCCACGAACCTTTTGTCTTTTTTTGGTGGTACAGGATTTGAACTCAGGGCTTCACGCCTATAAGGCAGGTGCCTCGAGCTCTTTGTGCTCTGGTTGGTTTGGGGACAAGGTCTTCCATTGCCCAGGCCAGCCTGGTCTGTAAGCTTCCTGCTGTCGCTGGAATGACAGACACGAACCACCACACCCAGCTTTTAGTTGAGATAGGGTCTTGTGAACTTTTTGCCCAATCTGGCCTTGAACCATGATCCTCCTGATCTCAGCCTCCCAAGTAGCTAGGATTGCAGGCATGAGCCACCAGCACCCTGCTCTGACACAAACCTTTGAGAGAGGTCCACTTACAAACTCCATTTTAGGGCTGGGGACATAGCCCTGGGTTTGATTCCCAGTACTGCAAAATACACCCACAACAATGACAAAAACCTCCTCCATTTTTCAGGGAAGGTTGAATAATGGCCCTGACATCATAGAGCGGGACGAAGGTGTGAGTTGGATCTAGCACACATGATGCCACAAGAACACCTCGGAACAAGGAGTTCCGAAGGTCCCGCTGGATGCCTTCCATGAGGGAATCTGGACAAATTCTCATGTGCGGGACTCAGATGGAGCAGCTAGTGGGGTGAGGGGAAGGCTGCTACCACAACGCTGTCTCCACAGAGAAAGGCATGCCTCCCAGGGACACCAGCCAAACCTCAGTGTCCCCTGCAGAAGAATGAACCTGGTGGGTCATTGGGTCACTCTCTAACCCCCCTGCATTCTTCCTGCCTTTACCTTCCTCTGGCCCAGATCCACGCACAGGTGTGTGAAACACAGCCTCTCCCAGCCTGGGAAAAGCACAATCTCCAGTGGAAAGAACATCTATCAATAGCTTCTTGACTGCTTCAGGTGACAGTGTACCCACACTCTAGCAAGGTCACATCTGCTGGGTCCTTAGAGGATAAGGCTCCTGGCTCCAGGAAATACCCTCTGTTGAGTGCACCTATAGGCTTGGCACTGAAGGTGCCAGGCTTTTCTTATGTTGTCTTGCAGTCTAACAACCCATCTTCTACCAGTGTTATTGCTGTCATTTGATAGACGATGAAACAGGTTCAGAGAGGTTAAATAATTTGCTAGGAGTCAAACTAGTGGTGGAGATGGAGCCCAGTGTGGTGGTGCATGCCTGTAATCCCAGCACCCAGGAGGCTGAGGCAGGAGAATGTTTGAAGCCAAGCCTGGGCTACATAGCAAGACCTTGTCAAAAACAAGAAAGGGGGTGGGTGGGAAGGAAAGAAGGAAGAAAGGAGGGAGGGCGAGAAGGAGGAAGAAGTGGGATTTGAACTTGCGTCTATCTGCTTCTTAGTCCAGGGTGGGCTCTTCAATAACAATAGCAGCAGCTGACATATCTTGAGTGCTGTGACTAAACAGACACTGAGTGCATTACCTAGGCTGCCCCAAACCAAGAGCTACTACAGATGGGTAAACTGAAGCAGTACCCCAGATTATCAAATCATTTTTCCACACCCAAAGCCACCAGCCTCACATCAGGTTCTTCTCCTGACTGCTCTCTCAGCATTCACTCCACACCTCCCAAGCCCCAGTGAGCCTCGACCCTCCTGGGAACTTAGAGCAATGGAGATTCTTGGAACAGAGGGTGCGGGTTGAGGGTAGGGATCTAAAATCTGTGGATTTTTCTTCTCTTCTTTTTTTTTTTGGTGGGACTGGGGTTTGAACTCAGGGAGTCAGGCTTGCAAAGCAGGCGCTCTATTGCTTGAGGCACGCCTCCCGCCCCCCTAGGTGATTCTGATGTTTTTTCTGTCTTTTATCATTTTCATGTTTGCTTATTTTTTTTTAATTTTTAAAAAATTTTTCTTGGCAGCACTGGGGTTTTAATTCAGGGCCTCACGCTTGCTGAGCCACTCCACCAGCCCATTTTTATGATGGTTTTTTTTTTTTTTTTGAGATAGGGTCTCTCGAACTATTTGCCCAGGCTGGCTTCAAACCTTGACCCTCCTGATCTCTGTCCTGAGTAGCCAGGATTACAGGCGTGAGCCACTGGTGCCCAGCAAAATGATTTTAAAAAGAAATTTTTTTTTTTTTTTAGTAGCACTCAGATTTAAACTCAAGTACTAGGGTTTAAACTCACACTTGCAAGACAGGTGCTGTTATTGCTTGAGCCACTTCACCAGCCCTGGAAAATGTTTTGGCAGTTCCTCAAAAACCTAAACATAGTCAGGCACCAGTGGCTCACATGTGTGTAATCCTAGCTACTTGGGAGGCTGAGATTGGGAGGATCGTGGTTTAAGGCCAGCCAGGGCAAGTAGTTAACGAGACACTATCTCAAAAATACCCAACACAAAACGGGGCTGGTGGAGTGGCTCAAGGTATAGGCCCTGAGTTCAAACCCCAGTACTGCAAAAACAAAAACAAAAAACAACAAAAAAATACCATTTTCCATAGTGGCTGCACCATTTTAAATTCACACCAGTAATGAGTTCCTTCCTTCCTTCCTTCCTCCATCCCTCCCTCCCTCCCTTCCTTCCTTCTTCCTTTCTTTCATCCTCCCTCTCTCCCTCCTTTCCTCCCTCCCTCCCTCCTTCTGTCCTTCCTGTCTCTCCTTTTTCTCTGAGGTTGGTCAAGAAGCTGGAGATAGAAGTGGGTGAAGTGGGGTCAGGCAGCTCCCAGGAGAACAGATGTGAGGGCAATACTCTGACGTGTTGACTAAGTTAAAGGCACTTGAAAACCAGCACAAACAAGCAGTTACTCTGAACTTTGTGCGGTGTTGTTTTGGATGGTACTGGGGTTTGAACTCAGGCCTTTTCTCTTCCTAGGCAGGCACTCTAGCTACTAATCCAGCCTTTTGTTGTTTTTGAGATGCAGCTTCACATTTATGCCCAGGGCCTCATCCTCCTATTTATGCTTTCTGAGTAGCTGGGATGACAGGTGTGTACCACCATGCCCAGCTTTTTTATTGGCTTAGATGGGGTCCTGCCAAGACTGGCCTCAAACCTCCATCCTCCTTATCTCTGCCTCCCAAGTAGCTGGAATTACAAGTACGAGACACCACCCCCAGCATGTTTTTTGCTTTGTTTTTGTTTTTGTTTTTTTGAGACAGGGTCTTGCTATGTAGCCCAGGCAAACTTATGATCCTCCTGCCTCTACCTCCTGAGTGCTGGGATTACAGGCAGAGTTCACCATGCTCAGCTGTGCTGTTTCTTAGAAGCAGAAAATGAAATTTCCTTGCACTTCAAGAAAAGTAATACCCTTTAGGATGAGAAGTTGACAGAGAATTCTATATAGGCCTTGTTAAAATAACTTACCTTTTAAGCCTTCACACAGAATGTAGCTTCTTCATGACATACCATTCTGTCCAGTTCAGTGCAGTATATAAGTAACTACCTCTACCTGCTTCTTTGGGTCATTTCTTTTCAAATAACATTTACTTGGAGTTTATTTGTTTTTTTGAGATAGCATCTCACTATGTAGCCCAGACAGACTTCAGACTTGAGATCCTCCTATCTCAGCTTCCAGAGTCTGGGATTACAGGATGGGCATTACCACACCTGGTTCTTTTGGGTCATTTCTTTTTGAAGGCATCCACACCTTGTAAAGCTTTTAGTAAATAGATAAAGCTTTCTCCTGTTAATCTGTCTTATGTCTATTTAATTTTGGGGGCCTGGGCTGGAACCCTAAGAGGATAGAGGTGGAGTTCTGTTGCCTCTATAGCAGGCAAATAAGCTGCCCCCAGAATACCTAGACCGGGATGTACATAGAGACACAAGGCACTCACAAGCTTAGCACCGTTTTCAAATAATTTATTAGGAATTTAAAACAAAATAAAACCTGGAAAAAGAAACAGATGTGGAGAGAAGAGACACGGGAGGATGGTAACTTGCTGGCTTCAAAACACCATGTAACATCTTAAAAAAAAAAAAAAAAAAATTCCCCAAACAAATCAGAAAACGGAATTCCAGGGCCCTGAACCCATGGTTGGGCCCAATGGGGTGAGAGGGTCCAGGGATGGGAGGAAAAGGGAACCTAAGTCTCTTAGGACTCAGCTCAAATGTGTAGAAAATTAAACATAAAAACCAATAAAATGCAGCTTCTCTTTTATTAGGAAACATTTAAAAAAAAAAGAAAAAACCCAAACACAAACAGCCGAGCGTCTTGGTAATAAAGATTATTGCTTTGTGTTCCCAGGGCTGATAGGTTGAGCACCTCGTACAGACAATTAACTCTCCAAAAGGGTGCTTTGAGAGGGTGGGCCATGATGGGGCAGGGAGCATAGGCCCCCAACCTCAGATCTGGGGGAAGGGGAGAGACACAGAACAGTGACAACAGTGGGTAGGCCTCAGCCCTACCACCCTGGCCAAGTCACACTTCATATTCACAGCCTGAGCCTTTTTCCTTTGACAGGGGCTCCAGGGTAAGGGGCTGCCAAGGGCTCCGGCCACGGGACCATCGTGGTGGGAAACTTCAGTGAGAGAATGTGGGGATTCCCTGAGAAGCCTTTTGCGTTCCCCTGGCATCTGCTCCTTACCTAAGTGCCCCCTGAGGCCCATTCATGGGGAAGGGGCTCAGAGCAAAAACCATGAAGGTCCAACCTAGGCAGGGGCAGGGGAGACCTTCGGAGAGCTAATTCCTTTCCAGCAGTGGCTCTGGGCAAGCCCGTCTCTTCCCTCGCCCCTTGCCCCCAAACTGGGTTTTCAGGGTGAGCAGGCCCAAGGCCTTGACCCCGAGGGCCTGAGAGAGTGGGCCTGCTGTGGCCAGAGCTGAGGCCTGCAAGCTTACAGTAATGGTGTCTGAGGAGGGGACAAAAACAGGGGGTGGGGGAGGAGAGACACAGACCTTTGCCCTATGGGATCAGGCAATGCCCTCACCCCCAAGGGGGTCTGAGAGAGAGGGGCAGGGGCTTCGCCTCACAGTATTTACATATGATACAGGACGGTTCCAGGGGCTCGGCCTGGCCTGCCCGCAGCCCTGCCCTCCTCTCCAGGGCTGGAGGGAGGTGGCCAGGGGCCCACACCCACATACACACTTTGTTCTCAGCTGGTGGGGGGCACCTGGCCCCTTGCCCCCTGCGGCCTGGGGCTTCACATTCACAAACCTAGAAATAGTTTAAAAACGGTTTCTTTAAAAAAAAAAAAAAAAAAAAAAAGCAAAAAAAAAAAAGTTAAAGAGCAAAGGAGGGAAAGTCAGAATAAAAAAAACAAGGGTTGGGGCTGCAGTGTATAGCAGGCTCCCTCCGCCCTCATTCTACAATGCACAAATACAAAAGCCTTCTGGGGGGGGCAGGAGTCCTAGAGAGGCAGGGAGGGAGGGGCAGACCCAAGAAGGGAGAGGGGAGATCCAGGGGACAGGAGGGCATCCGGCTAATCCAAAATAAATAAAAGCAGGCAGGGAGAGGGGCAGGTGTGGAAAGAGGCCAAGGGCAGGAAAGGGGGAGGTTAGTAGGGGAGCCAGACTTCAGGGCAGTAGGGCAGGGGAAGGGGGCAGGCAGTAGCAGGCTGAGTCGCGGTGGGGGCGGGGCGGCTGCGGCTGAGGTGTCCCAGCCCCCTAGCTGGCTCACTCTGGTCCTCAGTCAGCTGCAGGCTGGGGCGCTGGAAGACAGAGGTGGGTTGTAGGGAGCCTGCCCGGCCTCTCTCTCCCTCTCTGGAGCCCCCAGAACAATCCCCTCCCAGGACAGCTTTGTTCACAGATTTCACTTTCTGTTCCCCATTTGGATGGGGCCTTGATCAGATTTTGAATGGCTGGATTTATTTAAATGTCTGTTTTTTTTCTTCCCCTGTAGTGCTGAGGATTGAACTCAAGGCCTTATAAGCTTGCTAGGCAGGCGCTCTACCACTTGAGCCACTCCACCAGTCCTATTTTTTAAACGAGGTCTGGTTTGGGCCTGGATGGAGATCCTCCTACTATGCTTTCCTTGATAGCTAAGATGACAGGTGTGAGTCACCACGTGGTTGGGATGCGTGCGGGTGTCTGGAGAACTTTTTGCCCCAGCTGGCCTCAAATCATGATTCCTCCATCTCCCCAGTAGCTAGGATTATAGGCTCTCACTGAGGTGGCTTTTTCTTTTTCTTTTTCTTGAGACAAGGTCTTACTATGGCCCTGAACTCACGGTCTTCTTGCCTCAGCTTCCCACGTGCTGGGATTTCTTGCACATGCTACCACACCCAGCCAAATCAAAGATGCCTTCTCTGAACCCCTCATTGAATACAGCCCCCTACACACTGTTTGAAATTATCTCATTCTCTCTCTCTGTGGGACTGGGGTTTTGCACTTGCAAAGCAGGCACTCTACTGCTTGAACCACACCTCCAGTCCATTTTGCTCTGGTTATTTTAGAGATGGGATCTGGGGAACTATTTGCCAGAGATCCTCCTGATCTCAGCCTCCTGAGTAGCTAGGATTACAGGCGCTGGCTTGTTTGCTTTACTTTTGTCTATACAGTGAGAGAGAGTTGTCTCACTTGTTCATCTTGCTGTGTGTACCAGAATAGGGTTCAGTATTTGAATGAATGATGCCCTACCATTCCACCAGGCACTGTGATCCAGACCCATGTGTCAAAGGTATCCCGTTTTAATAGCTGTGTAATATCCCACTATATGCATATATTCTAATTTATCTAGTTACTCTTCTTTTGATGGTCATTTCAGCTATTTGCAGGTTCTCTTATTTTCTGATTTACTTATTTTTTGCAGTATTGGGATTTGAACTCAGGACCTCATGCTTTGCTAGGCAGGTGCTCTACCACTTGTGCCACTCTGCCAGCCCTACTTGCAGTTTTTAAAATAAATGCCTAGAAGTAGAATTATTGAGTCAAAGAGCATGAATGTTTAAAATCTGGATAAGTACTGTCAAACTGTCCTTTGGGACCCCTGAGGCCAGTTTACAGTTCCCCTGTACCTTCACCAATGCTAGGTGTTGTCAGCTGTAAGAATCTTTGCCTGCCTGACTGTGGTTTAAACTTAGATTTAAAATTGTAGTGTGCGGAGCTGCTTTTCCTGTTTGTTGACCACTGCTGGATAAAGGTCTCTCTCCCGCAGTGGGCTGTGGACTCTGAGGACAGCAATGGGGTCTATGTCCCAGACAACATCACCCAATATCAGCTTCCCTGGTACCACCCCTGCCCCATGTCCTTCCCCAGCTCCTCACCTCCTGCCTCCTGTCCCCTGCTTCAGTGGTACCCATTGGTGAAGGCTGTGGCAATCAAGGGACCCTGAAAAGAAAACAATTAAGATTCCTAGAATGCTGGGGAAAGCCCCGGGCTCCTGCTTTCTGGCGCAGGGACCCCATGGTGAGGTACAGGCCCTTTTCTGCCCTATCACCCCACAACAGACTTGCTCAAAGATTCTCCAAGGCAGGGCCTAGGACTCTGCATGTAGTCAGTACCCTCTGGAAACCTGCATGCAGGCTTCTAGAAGGTGATGCTTAAATGTCTACTACCTGAATGCTAACTTCCACAGCAATCCTCAGTGACATTTGCTGTTCCCATCCATCATACCTTCTCCTTCCCCTTGTGCCTGAGAAGACAGGCAAGGCTTCTCCCTCCCCCATCTTGGGAGTCTCCCAGGGTGGAGGGTGAGATGGAGGCCACCAGGCCTGGCCACTCACCCCAAGACTGTGGCCAAAGCCGGTGCTGGGGGCAGGGCTGGCGGCGCTGATGTAACTGCTGACCCCTGAGTCCTGGTTGGCTGCTCCATAGAGCTCAGCCATGGGGCCGGGGCTGGTGGTTCCCAGGAAGCCCCCTGTGCGACTGGGAGTTGAACCTGGAGGGGGAGCCATCGTCCAGGGGTGAGAGCCTGACAACCCAGAAAGAAGACGGTGATAGTCCCAGCACCCACTGTGGCCCAAAGCATCCCTCCAACCTCTTCTGCCCACCCTGACTTTGACCACCACATCCCAGTAAGTCCTGTGGCCTTATCCCTGCAGATCGCTCCAAGTCCATCCTCACCACTGTCGCCACCCCAGGTCCCACCACCTCCTGGCCGGCCACTCAGCAGCCATCCCTGGTGAGCCCCATCAAACCTATCTCCAGCTTGTCGCCTAGTGCTTTTTCTATAGCTGACCTATGTCACACTGTGGCCCCAGATTCCTGTCCCCACTCCCTAGTCCTGCACTCTGCCATGCTAACTGGTCTCCACGTCTTTGCACGTGCTCTCTTCAGCCAGAAACATTTTCTTCCTCCTTGTTTGCCCTTCTCCTGCCTTCTCTAGAGGCCCCAGCTGGAGAGCTCCTCTGGTACCAGACTTCCCCCAGAGCAGATATCCTACAGAATTATGGTCTTTTTAATTCTGATGCCCCTATAGCCTGTAAGCTCCAGAGGGCAGAGGCCCTGCCAGCGTCACTCCTGGCTGGATCACCAGTGATGGTACAATGTCCGACACAGTGTAGGTGCTCAATTAACACTTCAGTGAATAAATGGGCCCCTTCACCACGAGGTAACAGTAGCCACCTCCTCTCCTCTCTGGGCTTCTCTGCCCTCTGCCCTCCCTTCCCAGAAGGCCTCACCTGTCCCTCGAACCACAGCTGCTGCTGCTGCTGCTGCCGCCATTGGTCCATAAGCAGTAAGAGGAATGGCTGAAAGGCAAGGTTTGGGTACTCAGCATAGCCAGGGAAGGGGCAGTGGCAATGAAGGAAGCCCACCATCTGGGCAGAGTCTCTCCTGCCTGACCCCCATCTCAGAGCGGGGGGTCTGTGTGGCCCCAGGGCCAAAACAGAAATAAGCCACCTTGGGTCACCATCCTGTGCCCTGACCCAATGGATGGGAAAGGTAAGGATGAAGATGGCTTCCCAGTGAGCAGCTCAGCTTCGGGTTCCCCCTGGATGCCTGGGCTCAGAGGGTGGCTCTGAGCTGCTGCCCCTTCTCCAGGCTCCTTGGCAGAACAGGGACCACCTGGCCCCAAGCAGCCAGAAGCTTGTGTCCCTCTCCGCAACCATCACTGACTAGCCAGAAATGCAGGCTCCTGCCTCAAGGGGGACTGGCTGAGGACAGACTCCACTGGAAGCCACAGCCTTGCTGTGTTCCTTCTGCTGTGTGTCCTGTGTCCCTCACTCCCCTTCTTCCCCAGCGTACCCATCAGGATCTCCCTGACTAATCAGCCCCCAAACTCCCAAATTCCCTCAGCCCCCTTGCATTTTCTTTTTTTTTTCTTTTCTTCCTTTCTCTCTCTCTCTCTTTAAGCTTTTGGTGGTTTGTACTGGACTCGAACTCAGGGAGCCATACTTGCTAGGCAGGCACTCTACTGCTTGAGCCATGCCAGGAGCCCCTGCAGTTTCCCTTCTGTTGTCTCTTCAGACACAGGGGCCTTGCCTTTCCCTTGTTGCTTGTCTGCATCCACTCTCCACAGCACCTAGCACTTTGGTCTGTACACAGCAGGTGCTTAATACATGTCTGGTGAAGAAATAGAAGGGACCTTTGCTTTTTGTTTTGCTTAATTTTGTTTGAGACAGGGTCTTGCTGTGTAGCACAGCTGGCCTCGAACTCTTGACCCTCCTCTTCCCAGTGCTGAGATTACAGCTGTGTGCTTCCACCCCTGGTAGGACCTCTACTTCAATAACCTGTTGGCTTCAGCTGAGAGCTCCCTGGGGTTAAGGGCTTCAGAGTTTGCATTTGGCAACCCTTCAGGACACTAAGCTTCCATTCCAAGAAGCACCCCTCGGAGCTATTTGAGTGACCTTGACCTTGAACTACAGCTGAGGCAAGGGGTCCTGAACACCCTTGCCAAAGTCACTGGGCTGGAAGATTCAAATCTAGAACTGTATGGTTCCTGTAACTCAGAGGGGTCTTTTCTAAGAGCTTCATACAGTTGGCACCTTGGTTTTTTTGGCAGAGCGGGGAGGAGGGCAGGCAGTACTGGGGTTTGAATTCAGAGCCTTGTGCTTGCTAGGCAGGTGGTTTACCACTTGAGCCACATCCCCAGGCAACTGGCTCCTTCTTAGAAATCACCTCCTCTGAGAAGCCTTCCCTGAACACTCGTCCTGCGCCAGCCCCTCACCCACACCCTATTCCCTTAGCACAGTTTCCATGCTTCATCTGCCCCATGAAACTTAGCCTTTTGAAATACCTCACTTGTTTTCCTCCCTATCAGCTCCCAGAAGGAAGGAGCCTTATTTAACTCAACCATTGGTGTCCAAGGGCGTGGTCCAGCATAGGCACAATAAGCATGTACTGACCACATGAAACATGAAGGAAACACCCAAGTTTCCTTTTCTCCTCAGAAAAAGTTCAGACCCCAGACTCCCAAGAACTGCTGAGCCCAGGGACCCGCATCTCCCCTCCAAGACATCCATAGAGGGGACACCTCTCCAGTCAGGTGTGCAGGCACTAACGCGCTGAGGTCTAGTTTTTGGACAGTAGCCAACCTCAGCGAGTTTTATCACAATGTAAAGAAATCACTTCTTTATAGTGATAGATTTTTGTGTCCCTCTTTAGCCTGCATATTCTGTGAGACCTGACCCTACTTGTTCCCAGGGCCAACCCAGAGGTCTTACATGAGTAAAATGAACCCCTCCTCACCCCAATTGCTCATCAAATGCCCCTCATTTCGTGGTGGAGCCTCTATCTCCTCCTCTGTCTCCTTCCTTCTTCACCCTCTCCCACTTTGGGGGCACCCTGCACAGCCCTTGGAAGGAAGGTCTTAACTAAAGCAGCGTCCATACTCATATCTCCACACACGGCCAGGATGGGGGAAGAGTATGGAATAGAGTTGGGGAGAAGCAGGTTGGACAGGGAAACCCCGTGCAGCCCACCCTGTGCACACACAGCCCTCCACTTGGCCTCACCCAGTTCCACAGCTCAGCTCTTTGGCCCAGGTGAAGTGCCAGCCAGAGAAATGGCCGAGTGACCATTGTGACCCCAGAAGTCCCAAATGACCATCGCTAAAGCCAGACTGGATGATTCAATACATTTCATTTGGCCTATGGTGTCTTGATAATTTGGAGTTTGTTGCCAGTATTTTTAAATAATTAAAAAATTCACATGAAAGCCAAATCTGGGTTCTGGCTTCTCTGGAGAGATGAACTGTGAGGGTACCAGGTCTACATCCCCTTGGAAGGACAGGCTGGCACCGAGTGTAGGCATGCCCACTCCTGTGGGCAGTGTCTCTCCCCTACCCCCCACAGGCCCACTGTGCTCTGAGTTTGTGATCCTGGCCTGTTCACTGCTGGATACCAGAGCCTCCATGGTACATGGCACACAGGAGGTGCTACATATTTGCCAAAAGGATGAATGAATGACTTTGCCTCCATCTGTTTGGCATGGTTCTATGCCCCACCCTTAAGGGGCAAGGAGCTACACAGACCGGTCAGTGCCCAAACACAGTCTGCTGTGTCCCCACAGCCAGGGGGCTGGAGGGCAGGAGGAAAGGGTCCCACTAGCTTTCCCAGGGTCCCTGGGCCCTTCTCTGTTTCCCCATGTGGCCTATGAGACATAGGAAATCCGAGCAACTGACCTGTAAGCTCGGGGAGGACTGGGGCGCTCGGGAGAGGGGTCCGCTCTACACGGAATTCTAAAATGAAACGTAAAACAACTTAGGAGGAAGGAGGGGAGGCCCCTCAGGCACACCCCAGGGGGGACAAATGTACCTATAGGGACACTGGGTGAGGGTACAGGCCATGCACAGGACCCAAGAGCTTGGGATGATGATAGGAGTCCCCAGCAGGCAGGGCGGGTGGGACAGACAACACAGAGAGGAGAGACAAAGAAGAGAGAAAGAGCAAGCAGTTGCCACCTATACCCTGGGCATGGAGCAATGCTCATGCTAGGATTCTGGATGTTTCTTAGAAGGCTCAGTAAGGATTGTTCCAAAGAATAATCTTCCCATAATCCATATTTTTTTTTTTTTGTGGCAATACTGGGGTTTGAACTCAGGACCTACATCTTGAGCCACTCTACCAGCCCTTTTTTGTGATGGGGTTTTTTCAAGATAGGGTCTCACAAACTATGCCTGGGCTGGCTTTGAACTTCGATCCTACGAATCTCTGCCTACTCCCTGAGTAGCTAGGATTACAGGCATGAGCCCCTCGCTCCTGACTTTTTTTTTCTTTCCTTTTTCTTTTTTAATGATGAGCAGTCCAACCAATAGGCTGGACTTGGGCTCAGGTTCCATTTCCAGTGCCACCACTTCCTAGTCAAGTTGCCTGAGTACCTTTCCCTTTTCCTGTCTGTACAAAGAGGACAGTCACCCCTCCCTGGGGGTTATTGGGAAGCTTAGCCATCATAACAGCCCCAGGGGCAGAGGACGCAAGTACTAGCGACCCCTCAAATAAATAAGACCAAAAAATGGCCTGGAGATGCGGCTCAGTGGTAGAGCACTTGCCTAACATGTGCAAGGCTTTGGGTTCGATAGCCAGCACTGCAAACAAAGTAAGAAATAACAGCTAACGCTGTAGCTCAGTAGCAAAGTACTTGGCAGCTAGCATATACACAAGATCCTGGGTTGGAGTCCCAGTGCCACAAAAACAAATAAAAGCCTTGCCAAAGTTTGATCTTCGATCTTTCAAAGAAAACGACACTGAGTACTCAGGATCACCCAGAATTTTGATGGGTTTCCTGACACTTATTTAAGGTCCAGTGTTACCTTCATGTTGAATTACAAATGAGAGTGGTGATAATAGAGGTTTGAAGTCGTTCTTCAGCATTTAGCAAAAGGGCTCTGCGACCCTGCAAGGGCTCAGCACAGCACTCCAGTCACTGTAAATGTGTCTATCCCTGGAGGCAGGCCCCACATGATCTTTGGAGCGGGGGATCCCCCTCTGCAAGCCCGGCGGCCTCTTAGGTGGAAGTGGCAACAGTAGAGTAGGGTGGGGAGGACAGAAAGGCAAAAGGCACGCAGAGGACAAAGGGCCTGGGACAGAATGGTGCCATGCAGGACCACAACAGGAGCCTCCCATCCCAGCTTCTGGGAAGCTGGGAGAAGAAGGATGGGAGAGGCCCTCCTTCCTCAGATGTGCCCTTCCTTCCAAGCCTCCAGCAGGCAGACCCCCAGCCATGCACCCCAGACACCGCCCTGAGGAGTCAGACTGCCTGGGCACAGGGGACATGCTGGTGGCAGAGGGACACGGAGCAGGACTTACCAGGGAACTGGTAGGTGTAGCCAGGAGCGAGGCCTGTGTAACTCCGGCTGGCGTAAGTTGTGGCTTGGAAACCTGGGTAACCTGATGGGGCAAAGGGGCAGTGTCACCCACACTTGGGATCCTGTTCACTGGGGATCTGAGCCACTCATTCCCCTCCTCCACCTCAATCATGGGTAATCCAAATACCTGCTGCATGCCAAGCCTTGTGCTTTTTTATCTCATTAAACCTCATAAGCACCCCAATAGGTAGATACTATTAAGAGCCTTGTTTCAGAGACATGGAAACTGAAGTCCAGAGAGGCGAGACTTAACTGGCTGAGAATAGTCCAATTCCCTTACCAAAACTCCTTGGTGCTCTGGCTTCTGCCTGGCTTCTATCCAAATCTCCTTCATTCTGCCCTCCTTCCCTCAGCTCCAGCCACACACTGGCTTCCTGCTGTTTCTCAACTTTGCCAAGCTCATCCCCACATTAGGGCCTTTGCACAAGCTATGTATGTCGACTGTCTAGAATTCTTCCTCAAATGAGGTCTCACTGAGCATGGACAGGTCTTCCCAGCCCTGCCTCCCACCATGGCACCTTTGTTTTCCCCTTCACAGCACTGATAACCATCAGAACATATCTCATGATTTCTCTAAGTGCTGATTTTTGTCTTCCCAAAGAAAAACCCTATAGCTAGTAATAGTGGTACAACTGAAATTCAAATTCAGATCTGCCTGGCACCAAGGCTCTTAACCATCTGTCTCACTATTTATTAGATGTCCTTTCTTTTTGTTCTCTTCCTCCTTCCCTTCTTCCCTTCCTTCTTTCCTGAATTTTTGGAGACAGGGCCTCCCTATGTAGCCAGGCTGGCCTCCTCCTGCTGCAGGGATTATAGCTATGAGCCACCATGCCTGGTGTTTTTTTTTTTTTTTTTTAACGACAGTGAAGCCAGCTCATAAACACTTTTTTAAAAAGAAAGCCAGGCACTGGCGGCTCATGCCTGTAATCATAGCTATTCAGGAGACAGAGATCAGGAGGATCATAATTTGAAGCCACCCCGGCCAAACAGTTCAAGAGCCCCTATGTCGAAAAAAGAGTGTCTCAAGGTAAAGGCCCTGAGTTCAAGCCCCAGTACCACACAGGAAAAAAAAAAAAAAAGGAAGAAAAAGCCAGGTGTTGTGGACCCCACTTGTAATCCCAGCACTCAGGAGTAAGACATAGGAGAATTATGAGTTCAAGGCCAGCTGGGTCACACAGTTAGACTGTCTCACAAAACAAGGGCTAGGGATGTAGCTCAGTGGTAGAGCACTTGTGTAAGATATCTGCTGGGGGTGAGAGGGCACTGCAAGAAAAGAGAAAGAAGATGGCAATTATATTGTAGGTACATTAAAGGATTCCTAATTTTATGGATAAAGGTAAAGGGTCATGACACATATGATTTGCCCATAAGTGACTCAGGGAAAAATCATCATGCGTGTGTATTAACAAACATGCCTGTGTGCACGCACATACACACAATGAAAATGATAAAGCAAATGGGATCAAATGCTACCAGGTGACTCCCATGATGTGGGTATGTTCTTTTATGTTATGGGGTTTTTTGGTGGTACTGGGGATTGAACTCAGGGCTTTGAGCTTGCTAGGCAAGTGCTCTACCACTTGAGAAACATGCACCCAGTCCTTTTGCTCTCAGTTTGTTTTTCAGATAAAGTCTCTCACTTTTGCCCATGCTAGTCTTGGGCCATGATCCGTCTGCTCTGCCTTCTGAGTAGCTGGGATTATAAGTATGCACTGCCATATCTGGCTTATGTTATATATTTTTATGTTTTTCTATTTTTGCTACTCTTCTGAGAGTTTGTAACCTTCCAAATAAAAAGTTAAAAACAACAATAAAAACCTTCAAGAGAAAGACTGTACCCTGTTTGGACAGCGCTCTCCTTCCCACCTGTCCTGTGATCACAATTCTGACCCTCTAGCCTATACCACACCCCCTTCTTTGAAGTCCCAGAGCACCTCTCTGTGGGGTACCCCCATAACTGGCATAAAGGACCCCTGTACTGCCAGGCACTGGTGCCTCATACCTGTAATCCTAGGTACATGGAAGACTGAGACGAGGAGGATCACAGTTCAAGGCTAGCTTGGGCAAATAGCTTTTGAGACTCCAGCTTCAAAATACCCAGAGCAAAATGGACTGGAGGTGCAGCTCAAGTAGTAGAGTGCCTGCTTTGTAAGCATGAAACCCTGAGTTCAAATCCCAATCCCACAAAAACTCCACAAAAAACAAAAAACACTGTACTGTATATTCCATCTGTCTCTGCAGGGAGACTGTGAGGTTCCTGGGGGCCAACCTCAATTCAACATCCTTTCCGAGGCCCAGAATGTGACTGACTGCACTTTCTTTTTTTTTTGACAGTACTGGGGTTTGAACTCACACTTGCTCTACAACTTTAGCCACTCTGCCAGTCCTTTTTTGTGTTGGGTATTTTCAAGTTAAGATCTCTCGAACTATTTGCAATGGACTAGCTTTGAATCGTGATTCTCCTGATCTCTGTCTTCTGAGTAGCTAGGATTATAGGCGTGTACCACCAGCACCCAACTGTACTTCACTTTCAAGGCTCACTGCAGTCTTTGCTTCTTCCAGGGAGGCTTCCTGACCCCTTGGGGCAGTAGGTGCCTCCTTAGGCCTCCCACAGCCTCCAAGCATGCTGTGGTAATTGGTGTTCGCTTACTCCTATCTCTCATTTGAAGAGGGCAGGTCCTGCCCCTCAAAAGCAACCCCTTAAAAATTAGTTGAGTGAATAAGAAGAGGCAGCTTTCTTTTCACCCTCCCAAAGACCTTCGTGAATGTCTTTCCCTCTGTCAGGAAACACTTTTCCCTTATTTCTCCCATCCCCTGCTGTAACTGACGCCTGCTCAACCTGCAGACTCAGCAAAAATGTTCCTCATTTTCTGGTTTCTCTAAGTCTTGGTCCAGTTCCCTATGACCATTCTCCCTGAGCACCCTAAATCTAAATCTCCTTATCTCCTCACTTATTTGTCTTCTCCTGACGGGCCATACATCTCAGAAAAGTCACTGTTGGAATTCCTGGCACACTTGCTCTATACCTACAGCTGGACAGGTGGATGGAAGGATAAGAGACTGGACGGATGGACAGAGTACCAATTAATATGAAGCAACCGGACTATTCTGGTTACCACAAGAGGGCAGCACTCTACAACCAAACCAACCCCACCTTGGGCAGGACTGCCAGACCTGTGGAGATGCCTTGCTTTCTGTGACTCAGTGGGGAGGGCAGACCACAGAGGAGATGCAGCACCCACGCAACCCTGGGAGCAGTTCCGGGCAGGAAGAAGCCGCAGGTGCTGGCCTAGCACGTACCCAGCATTCCGATGCCCAGCATGAAGGCGTCCATTCCGTAGGGCATGACTCGAGACCGGCCCCGGGCTGAGCCCGTCGGCGACATCACCTCTTTTGGTTGAGCTTTCTTACATTCCACCTGCAGTGAGACAACAGTCAGTCCTTCCCACAGCTGAAGTCACTCTCCCCCTCCCAACCCATGGTAGACATCTCTTCATTATGAATTTCATAATTGTCATTTATGCAGCGCAGTCTATGCAAGGCAATGTACGAAAGTCCTCCTGCCTGCCTGCATTGGATGCTTATACCAGGTTTATCACAGCCTTCTTGTTACTGTGAGTCCCGTTTTACAGATGGAGAAACTGAGACTCAGAGAGGGACCCAATTAACCACTATGTGACACTGCCTCTCTGCTACCTTTTCAGGAGGTAGGAGAACAGGCTCTGCCCGGCTCACCGTGAAGCCCTGACTGCTTCTAGAACCCCAGAACTTCTCTGGCTGGCTCAGGCTGGAGCCCCGGTCTCTCTCTGCACCTCAACCTCATGCAATCCAACTCACTTTTTTTTTTTTTTTTTTGCAGTACTTGGGTTTGAACTCAAGGTATACGCCTTGAGCCACTCCGCCAGCCCATTTTTGTGATAGGGTTTTTTTGAGATAGGGTCTCGAAAACTATTTGCCAGGGCTGACTTCACACTGAGATCTTCCTGAGTAGCTGGGATTATAGGCGTAATCTAGCTCACCATTTTGTTGTTGATTTCATGGAAGTGGATTTCACACACTTTCTCCACGATGTCCTCGCTCTCAAATGTCACAAACCCGAACCCTAGAGGTTGGAGAAGGGGCAAGGGCAGGGTCAGAACCAGGGTCATGGTCAACATCTCCCCCCAGGCCATATAGATACACTGCTGCTCTTTTGTGGCCAAGTGTCTGGGAGTTAATGAAAGGCTCTGCCCACAGACAAGGAGACTTTCAACTACCAGGTGAGACGGGGTTTCTGGTCCCAAATTATGGATGAGCAAACCAAGGCTCAGCAAAGTGAAGCAACTTGCTCAAAGTTACACAGCAAGTTAGAAAGTGGCAGAGGTACCATGAGAATACAGTCGTCCCTCAGAATCAGAGGGAGATGGGTTCCAGGACCCTCTCACTGATACCAAAATCCACGCTGTGTGTAGGGGTTTTTTTTGGTGATGATGGAGATTGAACCCAGGCCTCACACATGCTAGGCAAATGCTCTACCACTGAGCTACATCCCCAACCTTTTACATGTAATTTTTTTTCTGGGTATTTTTCATCTGAAATTGTTTAAATCTGAAAATGCAGAACTACAGAAACGAAGGACAACTGTATACTTAATATGCCTTTTCTCTCCCTCAAGGGCTTTCCAAAGAGGAAAGAAAGAATATCCCTAAACATTCATTTCAACTTATACAAAGGTGTACATACCCAAACATACCTTTGTACACACACACACACACACACACACACACACACACACACACAGCCAAAAGGCCAAAAGGCCTGAGGCTAAACAGCCCAGCCTCTTCCTGCACATCCCTAGGGCTGGATGAAATTTCTCAGAAGGCAAGGCCCTTAGAAAAGCCAGGGAGAGCCATGCACCAGTGGTTCATGCTGTAATCCTAGCTATTCAAGAGGCAAGATCAGGAGGACTTCAGTTCAAGGCTAGCCCAGGCAGATAGTGTAAGAGACCCTATCTCAAAACTACCCAACACGAAATGGGATGGCAGTGTGGCTCAAGTGGTAGATTGCCTGCCTAGCAAGCGTGAGGCCCTGAGTTCAAACCCCAGTACCATCAAAAAACCCAAAAACAAAACAAAATCAGGCAGAGCACACAGCATGGCCCAATGTTCACAGGTTCACGGAGTGGGGGCAGGAAGGCTGGGGCAGGAGACAGGGCAGAGCAGACTGCCTGGGACTGTGGAGTCAGCTTGACCCCAGGGGCAGCCTGGCCTCAGCTCTAGTTACCAGGGACAAGGTAAGCCTAGGCGGAGGTGGAGGGTGCTGCTGGGGGGAAGGGGGGGCTGTCCTCTACTCCTCTCCATGGCTGCAATTGGACAAGTTTCTAGCACAGGAAACTCGGGACAAAAGCCTTCTGTAAGGCCAGGCCCTGGAGAGGTTGCAGACCCTCAGGGATAGGATGTCAGGAGGAGAGATGAAAGGGCAGCTGTGACCTGCAGCCCCCTGGCTGACCAAGGCCCCCCAGCCCAGCCTGGGAAGGGGGAGGGGTGCACTCACCTCGGTGCCGGTTAGTAGTTTTGTCAAACATCAGCATGGCATCATCCACCTGAAACACAGCCTGCCGTAGAAGACCCACCAAACACCAGGAGCTCCTTTCACCCACTCCCCTCTTGCCCGCTCCAGACTTTATCTGAAATCTGCTCCAAACTCAGGGAATGGGTTTCCATCTACAATCTCCCTGGATACAACAGCACCCCAGTCAACCAGCAGATGCTCAGTGGATCAGCCTGCATTTATTAAGCTGGCACTTTATCCCCATCATCCCAATATTCCCTGCAGGGGAAGACCTCCACTGGCTACATAAGGAAATGGGCTCAGAGAGGTAAAACTGCCTCCAAAAGGTCACACAGCAAGTCCCGAACCTAACCAAGAAGGAAGAAGCACAGAGCAACGGCTAGGGAAGGAAATACAGGAATAAGATTATGAGACAGGGAAGCAAAAGCCTCTTTCTTCCCTTTTTGCAAAAGGCCAGGAGGACAGGGCAGCAGCCAGACTTGACTCCCCTCTCCTGGTACAGATCTTTTCTCTAATTGAGGTTTCCTTTAGCTAGAGGCTGTAATTAAAGCAAGTAGAGTTCAGTGACTGGGCTGCCTGCCTTCCACTGATTGGGGGAGGAGAAGGGACTAAGGAAGGGGAGGGTTTACATTAGGCACCTCTCTTGAACCCCAGACATAGCTATGTGCTACTCCCTCCAGCCATCCTCTCAAACACGTGGAGAGCCACCTCCTTCCCTGTGCCTGCACCTCATCCTTCTTTTTGCTCTCCTGTCTGATTCAACCTTAGAGGAAATTGGGGCTGGCAGGCCTGACCCTCCCCCAAATGGCCAGTCATGCAAAGGATAAAGGAAACCAAGGGGTACAGCTTCCCCCACTCTCCTCACCCCATTCCAGGCCCTTAATGTGTTTTCAGGGGTCTCCCCTGCCTCAGTAAAGTGGAATGTGTAGACCCCGAACTAGGGTGGTCCTCTAGCTAGGGAACCAAGACTGGTTCAGCAGGAACCCTGGAGCATCTCAGAGGGGAAATGACGTCTTCTTTCCCAAGGAGCTTCCTGCGGCAGACTGCCACCCTTGCTGCCATCTCTCTGGCCACATTCTGAGTCTCAAATCGCAAATCAGCTGGCCTGTCCAAACTGGGGGGACACTTCAGGCTCAGCACATCTTCCCCATCCCTTGTTTAAGCAATGGGAAACAGAAACCAAGAAGAAGGGTTTTGATCAAAGCACAGGCCCAGGTTGAAATGCTGATCCTGCACTTGCTGGTTAGGTGACCTTGGGCAAGTGAATTCAGGTTTCCATGACTTTGAGGCCTCACCTGGGAACTGGGTATAAGAGTGACTGTCTCTTGGGGAGGAGTTGAATGAGAGTGCATGTAACACCCTTAACTACCTGGGGTTTAGCAAGTGTTTAATAAATAGCAGCTATTATTATCATTATTATGGAGGACTTGCACACAGTCACATGGGGGAGGGTGGCAAAGCTAGAGAGCCTGAAGTGGCTTCAAGGTTCCATGAGGACAGGGTCTCTGTCAGTTATGACCATCGCCACCATTCTGTTGAGCAGGTTGACTTGTACTCAATTATTTTTTGAATGGATGAGTGAATAAAGAGAAGAACCAGCCACACCTTCATCCTTAATCCTACAGTTTTGAGTTCTTGCCCGACCTACAAACTGATTCAGGCCAAATCCAGTCCTTCCGGCTGTCTTCCACCCAACCTTCCAAATCCAGCATCTCTGGTCTCCAACACCCTTCAACCTGGGCCTTGGCTATGCAGACCCCCAGTGGGTCGGTGGGGTTGAGGCCAGGGCAGGGAGCAAGGAAAGTGGCTGGGGGTCCAGGGTACCCCCACCGATGTCCCCTCCTGGGACCAGCTAAGGGGAGGGAGGCTCCACACCCAGTGTCCTTAATAGGCTTTGGTCTCCATGGGAACCCAGGGACAGGGGGGCGCGGGGGGGGGGGGGGGGGGGGGAGGGGGAGGGGAGGCGACCGAAGCCTGCTGACCAGTGGGAGCCGCCAAGTTCGGCGGCCGCTAAGCCTGAGTGGCAGCCATGGCGGCTGACCATTGTTCCCCCCACGGTGGCGGCCCCTCGATCCGGGCGGGGGAGCCCCCTGCCGCGGGGCCCTTGGCATTCCCGGCTGTCCCCCTCGCTCCCTGGCAGCCTATTCTCCGGCTCCCCCTGGCCTCCCCGGGCCGGTTTCACATGCCAACGCCGATTTAGGCCCGAACAAAAGACGCGGCCGCTGACGGCTTCTCCTGGGGCCCGGTTGCCATGGCAACGCCGGCCCCGGGGGCAGGCGGCCTCCAATCACAGCTGCTGGATCAGATTAGTGCGAGCGCTAATGCTCGGCGCTCAGACACAAAGACACCCCGCCGGAGCCGAGCCGGGCCTGCTGCTTCCCAGGAGCGCCCTTCCCTCCTGGGGCCCAGGCCGGGCCTGCCCTGCATCCTGGACCCAGGTCCCCAAGGAGACGCCTGAGCCGAGGCCTCTGGCCCCCACACGTCAGCATCCTCTGGCTTGTGGACCCCCTCAACCAGCCTCAGCTCACAGGCCATCTCCCCAGCCTCGTCCAGCTTGGCCTGCTGGGGAGCTAGATGCCTTGAGACCAACCTCTGCTCTGTCTCACCTGGCACAAGCAAAGCAGCCCCCTTCACCACTACACCTCAGACTTGGACCCCTCTCCACCATCTCCCTTGGGACCTCGAAGTACACACTGGTCACCTTTTTGGGGACACCCTGTTGTCTACAGTGCCACACTTCCTACCTTTTTGCAGACCCAAAAATCCAACCTTGATGCACCGCGGAGCTGAGAACCAATCTTCTGGGTCAGATCAGAATCTGGGGTGCTTTCTTAAGTTTCCAATACCTCAGAAATCAGCAGCCCCCCCAGCTCCTGCTTCCAGTGCCCCATCTGCATGCAGTGTACTGACTGCAGTGGGGAGTCATATTTATTGAGAAATTATCATCCTCCCCAGGAAGGGGTGGGGGAAGGTACAGCTGCCCTTGGCCTGGACAGGTGCAAACTCCCAGGAGGCCAAGGGGTGACTGGATTGAACTGGCTACTGGAGCACCTCCTCCCTTGGGAGAATGCAGATAAGCAGGAGAAAAACTCAGGGGAAGGGCAACAAAGGCACATTACCGGGTGGCTTCCTCTCCTTGGGGATGTTGAGAGTCTGAGGCTCATAGATGGGCCAAGAGCCCATGTACCACCCACAGAAGGATCCAGTCCCCTTTCACTTTTTGTAGGAATTGGGATGACCTAGCCAGTCCCCACTTGCTTCTGACCCATTCTACACTTTCACAGTCCCAGAAAGCAACGCCCCTGCACCGAGTTAAGACCCACCTTCCCAAACTGCTCAAAATATTGCTTCACATCCTCCACCGTGGTGTTCACTGACAGCCCCCCCACAAAGATCTTCTTCGTTCGAGTCACCATCTGTTAGGGGAGGGAATGAGAAAGTGGGCATCTGAGTCCTGTGGCCTACCACCACCAGCAGGGGCTCAAGCCCCCCTGCCAGGATGCCAGCTGACAAGCTCTCTGTGGCCCTAGCCTCTCAGAAGGCCCCCCAAGCTCCCCCTTGGACCCCTGCCTCTAGGCCTGTCACAGGCAGCTGTGTACCCCACACCCTGGCTGGCTTGAGTGTGCCTCCATCCCTGGAGTGTGTCTAGAAAATGCCTTCCCTAAGGACTCACACAGGAAAGGGGGCGGACCAATGACCCAGACCCACAGCCTAGCTCCAAGACCCCACCAGTCCTCCTGGGAGACACCAAGGCCATTGCAGGGTCTCCCTGAACTTAACGCCGACATTTTCCTCATCAACCTCCTCCCAACACAACCTCTGGCAGCCCCATGGCCCCAACCCTGTTTTAGGAAGAACACATGGTCCTAATTACCCCAGGAGCGCATGGCTAATCCGCGGCAATTCCCAGCCCCATCCTAACACTAAAGCACCTTCTGTCACCAAACTGCTTAATGGAATTAACCCAATTCCAACCATGTGCTCCCTGGTGTGGCTTCCTTCGAATACCTGCTCCATAATTGCTTTCAGGCCCTCTGCTGGACCCCTTCCAGAGATGCCCCTTTCCTGTCTCCTAAAACTGTCCCTCTCTCTTTGCCCTGGTAGGAGCTAGGGACTTTAATGGAATTCAGAATCTTAAAGCCCCCTGCTTCCTACCAACCCCCGCATAAAGGGGGAAACTGAGAGCTCCTGGAGATGGATCCAGTCCTAAGACACATGATAAGTCAGCACACTCAAGGGTTCTGTTCTGACTTCCTATCCTGTAACTGCCCTTTCTGTCTCCTAAAGTCAATAGCTTAACAATTAAGATCTGCCTACTTGTCATGAGGCCTAGAATCAAATCTAGGCCTCACACCAGAGGTAGGAGGCTGGCTGGGAATGGGAGCAGGGGGAGTCAGAAGTAAGCTCCCTGGCTCAACCCAACTCTAGCTCAGCTTCAGGGGGCAAGCCTGCCCTGTGTTTGACCCCTGGAGGCCTAGAATCAAATCTGACGCCCCTACCCTATACCACAAGTTTTGAGTGCTATGTTGTTCAACTACTCAGAAACCCATTTTCTGCCCCTCTCCTCAGAACACCAAACGGAGTCCTTGAAAGAGCAGCCCTAGACAACCCAAGTTGAAAGACAACAGGTGACAGACTTTCCCCCCACTCCCCACATGCAAGTCCAGCGTGCCTCACACCAGAGGTAGGAGGGTGGCTGGGAATGGGGGCAGGGGGAGTCAGAAGTAAGCTCCCTCGATCAACCTAACTCTAGCTCAGCTTCAGGGGGCAAGCCTGCCCTGTGTTTGACCCCTGGAGGCTCCAGGCACAGAGGCTGTGATCTATGAGGTTGGAATTAGACTCAGGGTCCATACTCTACTGGATTCAAATAAAGGAAAATGAGTCTGCTGAGCAGTTCTCCTTTCTCCCAATCCCCTCTGCAGTCTACCCAGAAGACAGTTAAGAAAGATGCATATTTTCTTCATTATACAGAGAACAGACATCTCCTCTTCCTGCCCCAGTCCATTCCAGAAACACTCAAAACACAGGTTCCAGAAGCATCTGCCATAGAAGAGACTATTGGGAAAATCACTGTCCAGAGTAGCCCAAGGTAAGAGAGCTCCTCCCAGTGCCAGATACACCTACCTTAGGCTGTGCTCTCCGAGGAAAGGCCACCTTAGGGTCAATCTGAAAGAGAAAGGGGATGGTCAGAAGGGGTCTTTGGTTATCACACTTTAGATCGGTACCATACAGCACTTCGCCTTGACAACCTCTCATCTCAAGACACAAAAGTGACAGAAACCACAACAATCTCAGGCAGGAAAGCATAATGATTAAGCAAGTGACTGGGTTCAAATCCAACTTGTGTACTTCCTCACTGTGAGACCTTAGACAAGTTATCTAACCTCTCTGAGCCTCAGGGTCAAGCTCACCTGCAAAATGGACAAATAATAATAGTACCAGTCTCAAAGGGTCATTTGCAGATTACTTGAGATAAGGCATACAAAACAAGAACCAAAAATAACATAAAACACTTTTTTTTTTTAAACCGTTTTTTCTTTCTTTTTAAATTTTATCGTTTTTACTTTTACTCACATGTGTATACATTATTTGATATAAACCACTCTTGTTCCTGCAAGTGTCAGGTACATTGAGGGCCTCCCTTGCCTAACTGACTTGACTATCTAGGAAGGCATGCAATTTGGACTTTGGAAGCCTTGCAAATGGAAATACATTTTGCCTGAGAAAGGCTACAAAATTAGAGTTCAGAATCACCAGGAATAGTCTCAGTTCTGTTTGCCCAATACCTCCAGCCTCTAGCAGCCCTTCTGCAGGCTGCAAGCAAACAGCTCCTAAAAATGCAAGTAGGCTCAGGTAAGACAGAGTGTTGACTTGAAAGGGCATGGGACTTAGAAACTCTGGGCTGTTTATGGGGCTTGTGATCTTGGTAATTTTGTTTGCCCCTCTTGGGCCTCAGTTCCCTAATCTGCAAAGTGGGGATAATCACACCCCTCTTTTCCCAGAGGCAGCTATAGGGAAGCAAAAGAGATAACGTAGGTGAAAGCGGCCCTTTGTGAACTGCCCTTCATTGCACAAACAAAGGTGCTATTATCAGGAGGCCACCTTTGCCCTTGGCTGTGAACAATCAGAGGGAAAAATCAAGATCCACCTGGGTATTCTAGCAGTGCTGACAAACAGCAAGAGACATGGCTTGAGAAACTGTGATCAATGCAGGACCTATTGAGGCAAGAGAGTTTCTTGCCACCCACATGGGTGGACATCATTTAAGTTCACCAGCCAATCACAGGGAAGATCTATCTTTTCCCAAAGTCCCTTCTGTTCAAAACTCAGTCTCATTCTAGGAAACTGACTCTGGCTTGCCTGCCTGAATGGCACAGACCAGGAAGGGGCCAGCTCTCCTACTGGAATCTGCCTACAGATAATGAAACCCACAAAGTCCACACCAGGGCAATATCCCCTTTCTAGCAAAGGCCCACTGGGCTCAAGAAAAAAGACGCCCACTGCCCCTGACTGAAGTTTTGATTTCATACCTCTATGGACATTTTTATCCTTCTATTTCTCCTAGATGCAGCCTCCCTAGCCACCTCCATACCTCAAACAGTCCCCCTGCACAGACCCTAATGGGGAGATGGTGCCCAAGCCACACTCCCCCAGACCCACGTGTACCCAGTCCCTGACACAACCCACCTCCACTCTGACTCACAGCTGGCAACATAAATAAAATCCAACAAGTAAATAAAAGGTGAAAGTCAGAACCCCAAATAGATTTCCACAGTAAACCTCCTCTCACCCCCTTCCCCAGCCCAGAGATGCCAAACACAGACAAATTCCTTGCCCTTGGTGAGTCCTTATGTCCTAAGGATACCCATCTCGCCATCCTTCCTCCTGCTTATCAATCTTCCACTACTCCAGTCCCCAACCCCAGTCCCTAAACTCAGCTTCCTGAGTTCTGCAGAAGCCACTAGTGCATTCTGAGGACAGGGGATGGTAGGAGAACAGGCAGCTTGATGGCAGATAATCACCAAAAACAATAGGCCACTGTCTCTCCTTTCCCAGCCTGGGTCACTCAGGCTGCGCCAAGAAGATCCTTTCAGAGCCGGCAAAGTCGAGGCCTGGCCTCATTTGCTCATTACTGCGAGGAGTAGGAGCCACTGGGCAGATAACAGGAGCTGGGGACAGGCGGTAATTTAACAAATTCTTGGGCACAACCAGCCATTGTTGCAGGTAAACAGGAGCCAGTGGCTGACCCAAGCAGGGAGGCCCAGGGCCTGGGGAGAGTGGGGGGGCGGAATGTGGACGGAGATTTTCACACTGTCCCAGCCGCCTGGCAGACAGACACCCCCATCACTGAGTAAGCCCTCTTCAGATTCTCTCCTTTTCCTTCTCCCCGTGAATTGGCCTCCGCCAGCGCCCCCTGCAGGGTTCAAGACATTGGGGAGCAGTGGGACAGTGGCAAAATGTTGCAGGAGTTTGAATGCCAAACAAGCAGCTTCTGCTAAGATCTAGTTTTCAGAGTGCTTTTTTTTTTCCCCCAAGCAAGCTGGCTCTCGTCTCATAAATCCCCTGTATGGGCAAAGCAGGTCCGTGTCTTCTACACAAAGCAAGGAGCTCATTGACCAAAGTCGGCGGAGGAGGGAGAGAGGGGACTCAGTGATGCATTGCCATTGGTCTAGGTGGGAGGGGGGGGTGTCAGCAGAGCCAAATACTAGTTAAGAGTTCAGAGAAGCCACCCGTGGGTCACTGCAGCCCTGACTCACTCAATTTGGGCTAGGGGAGGGACCCAGCCCCACCCCAAGCTCTGAGGCATTAAGATTAGTACTTATAGGGAGGAGGTAGTAACTGCTTCTTCCCTCACCAATGCTACGGAGAGAGGGTTTAGCATCTCATTCGCGACCTGGGATCATTCTTCCTCTCTGCCCCCAACTCTAGTGACAAAGTTTCAAAGCATGGCAACCCTTTTACTCAGAAAACTCCCTTTCCTCAAGGACCCAGTCCGACTGTCCCCTGGGGAGAGTGCGGGCCGTCTCCTTCCGCAGCCTCCCTTCTCCCTAAGGATCCCCGAAGCCCCGAGGGCCACTCACTGTTTTGGAGTCGAGCTCGTGCCGCGATTGCGCCAGTACTTTATCCACCCCCGCCTGGTCCATGAAAGTGACGAAGCCGAAACCCCTGCGCGGCGTAGTGAGGGAGAGGCAGATGGTTACATGGCAGTGAGTGGCAGCGGTGAAGCGGGGCGAGCCGGGTGCAGGAGGAGGGAGTCAGGGGCTCACCTGGATCTCTTGGTCAGGGGGTCCCGCATCACCAGACACTCCTTCACCTCCCCGAACTGGCCGAAGTATTCGCGCAGCCCTTCTGTAACCACACACCCGCCTTTGGACCAGCCCGGGCCCCACGCCCTCCCCCTTCCCCCGTCCTTTGCCCCGGGTGACCCCGGCGCGGCCCGGCCGCCCCCGCGCCAAGCTGCCCGCGCGCTCTCCACAGCCTGGCCCCCCCCTTGCGCTTGCCGGCCTCTCCAGGAGCCCCCTGGCGCCCACCGGGGCCCCGGGAAGCCAAGGGCCGAGCTGGGCAGGAGGGGGGGGAACCGCTCCGGCCGGGTTCCCGCCGCTCCGGGAGCCGCCTCACAAAAAGTTTGAGCCGCAGGTGCGAGCGGAGTTGGCGCTGTCGCTGGCGGGTCCCGGGGGCCCAGCCCACCCCCCTGATGCCCCTTAAACCCCTCTATTGCTCCCCTTCACCCGCAGGGCCGTGCGCACTCGCGGATCGCCCTGCGCCCTCGGGGTCCCCGAGCGGGGCGCGAAAGAGGGCACGAGGGTGCCCGGGGTCAGCAGGGCGCAGGGCCGAGCTGGGGTGCCCGGGTCTGGGGCGCTGGGGGCGTCCAGGGTGCTCTGCGGGGCCGACGGGCGCTCCCGGGCTGGCTCACCCTGCGTAGTCTGCCAACTGAGTCCCCCGATGAACATCTTGCTGCGGGAGGAGGAGAGACACAAAGGGCCCGCGTGAGCGCTGGGCGCCAGGGCGCAGGGGGCGCGGGCCCGGGCCCCGGGGAGGCCCGGCCCGACCCGGATCGGCCATGTTGGCGGGGCTGGGGCGGTCGCGGGCCGGGCAGGCCGGGCTGGGCCGGGCCGGGTCGTACCAGGGGTCGTGCGGCGAGTCCGGGGAGGCGAGGCCGGGCTGGGGCGCGTCAGTCTCCATCGGGAGCCGCGGGCGGCGCGGGCAGGGGAGCGGCGGCGGCGGCGGCGGCGGCGGCGCTCGGCGCGGGGCAGATGAGGAGCGCGGCGAAGGGGGCCGGACGGACAGGCCATGCTGCCCCCTCCCCGACCCCGCTCGGGCGGGCGGGCGGGGACGGCCGAGGGGAGGGCCCGCCGGGGGCCGACCTGCCGGCTCCTCCCCCCGCCGCCCTGCGCGCATAAAGCCCCGCGCTCGCCCGCGCGCCCGGGCGCCCGCGGAGGCGACGGCGCCGGGACCCCCCTCCCGCCGTGCTCCCGGGTCCCCGGGGGCGACAGACCCCCCGAATCCCGGTGCGGGCCGGGACCTGGGCGCGGCCGCACCCCCCACCCACACCAGCGCAGGGGCCGGGCCGCGGGAACGCCCTCCCGGAATGAAACGCTTCCCGGTGTCTTCAAGGTAGCTCGGTTCCGGATCGGGAACACCCCCCCCCTCGCCCTGTCCTCCCTCTCAGGTCCCCGCTATCCAGAATTTAAGGGCGCCTCCCAATCTCCCTGGACCGGGTTGGAGATAGCCTTAGTATCCTCCAAATCCCCACCCATTCCAACTGGTGAGAATTCCTCAATCTCCCCTAGTTGGAGCGAGAAGCCGCTCTGGGAGCCCCAATTTCTTCTGAATCTAATTTAGTTCCTTTTTAGCGGCTCTCAGTCCACTCCTAGTATCCCATATCCAATTGGGGAACCCCCTCAGTGTCCCCCGTCCCGAGTAGGGAGCCTCCATTAGCACCCCAGTAGAAACCGTATCAGTTTCCCCTATCCCTTCTGCCTTTGCTGTCTAGAGAGAGAATCCGTCTCAACTCTTTCTCTCCACGCTTGTGGTCCCTATGGTCTGTTGAGAAATCCCCCTTTCTGAGTGTGGGTTCCCAGTTTACCGTCCCCTAAACTCCCCCCCCCTCCTCATTATGAGAAACCTCTCCCTGTCTCGCTCTTGCCAGCCCCATTCCAACTCCTGTCTGGATTCGGGAAATCGGGTTCCAGACGCTCGCCGCCCGCTCCCTACTGAGCTGGGAAAGAAGTCAGTGTCTCTTAGAGTCTCCCGTTTCCAGTTTAGGAGCCCGATGGCACGGCTGTGTATCTTCCCCTCCGAATGACCCCCTCTTTTGCAGAATTCTATCTCAGTCCAATCGGATTGGAAGAAGCTGAGCTACCTACCCACTGCGTTTGGAGTTACTTTGCTCTGTCCGTCTCATCTTGAGACCACTCCCCGTGCAGGCGAACTTCTTTATCTCCTCCCCCATCTTCTGGGTCTTGGGGATTCCCCCCTCCCCAGTACTTTCACCCAAACCACTTCATCCACCCCTAAAACTGCCTCCCTCCAGCTTGGCAAGGACTCTAAGAAAGTCCATCTGGTTCCTGGATGTCCATTGAAGCCAGAGGCCACTCATTCCCCCCTCCATATCCAAGCCTGAGGATCCTTTACTGCCCTGAAACCAGCCAAGAAAGGGTCAAAGCCGAGGCTAAGGCAGCTAACGCCCCATCACAGTGCCTATCCCTGCTGGGGGTCTCTGTCACGGAAGCCCCTCCCTCCCAGCTCACCTCCTCTCTTCCTTAAATCCAGCCAGTATAACCAACCCAGTGATAATCGGTGGTGGCATGCCCTTTACCGCCCACCTTCACGTCCATCCTGTATTCCTACACCTTTGGTTAATGTGTGCCCCAGCTCTGAGCATAAGAACCTGGAGGTGCTTCTTCCCTCCACTTAGCACTTTTTTCCTCCGCCCACCCCAACCTTGGGGGAACTCTCAGCAGGTATATCCTGCCACCCTATGTGCCTGACACTACAAACAAACTTGCTTTTTCCTGTTTGTACCCTCCTGCTCTGTCCCACAGTTTCTCAGCATCCCCTGGATTGGGGGTAGGGAGCATCCCACACAGGATGGTTACCTTCTCAACACAGCTGGGGAACATCAGGTGTGTCCTGGGAGAGACCCAGGTGACAGTCAGCAGGTGTTATCCCCGGTGTTAGGGATCTGAACGTTCCTAGGGCTGAACTTGAGATTCCTTGTGTTTATCATGGGGTTCTTGAGGGGCGCTGGGTGTGTAGAACTCCAAGGATCCATAAACATTGATTTGCCTGCTAGTGAGGATAGGAAGTGGTAAGGACCATTTAGCCAACCAAGACTGTGTAAGAAGTAGTTTGAGATAGGAGTCATATACTAGCACCCTTGTTCTGGACCTGGAAGGAGGAAGTGTCTATTTCCTTTTGGTTGGTAGCAGAGTAGTGTGTGGGTGGACTTAAGAGGAGTCCTCTCCCACTTCGGGTTCATCTCCACCTGACAGCTTCAGTTCACTTTGTTCACCTTAGGTGCAACAAGTCCTTCTAGGGGCAGCCCTCACAGGACAATGCATCTATGAGGTAAATTGAGGATCTTGGTAGTATTAAGGAAAAGTGATCCTTAGGCTGAGATTAGAGGATGTAGGTGTAGCTTCTTTCTGGGCCCAGGCTGGCTTCAAACTGCAATCCAGATCTCTGCCTTCTGAGTAGCTGGGATTATATGGAATAAGCCACCTGTGCCCAGCTATAATTTTTTTAAATGCTCTTGAGAAAGATAGTGGAGAAATGACGTTTTGCCCAAGCACTAAGATGATATAGCACCTTCTACATTTATTGAGCACCTTCTACATCCCAGACACTGATCCAAGTACTATATTCTCAGCACCTACCATCATGAAGCTTAATTTCTAGAGATAAGAGCTAGATAAATAGCAATTAAGTGCTATGAGAAAGGAAAGGGAGATAGGGAAGGTGGGACAAATCAGAGATAGGACGATACACAATTTTAAATCAGGAAATTGCTCATAGGGAAGATGAGACTAATTCATCTCCTCTCTCTTTTTTTTTTGATGGAACTGGGGTTTGAACTCAGAGCTTCACGTTTGCAAAGCTGTCACTCTACCTCCTCTTGAACCACTCTACCAGTCCATTTTGCTCTGGTTATTTTTGGAGATGGGGGTCTCAAGAACTATTTCCCCCAGCTGACCTCAAATCTTGATCCTCCTGATCTCAGCCTCCCATGTAGTTAGGATTACAGGCGTGAGCCAGGTGCACCTGGTCGAAAACTGCACTTTTTAAGCAAGCTGTTCTATCAGATGATGCTGGTAACAAGTTTTCCTTGGACCACTCTTGGAGGAATACTGCTTTAAAATATACTAGCATCTTTGAGAACAAAACTAAAGATTAAATTATAGTATGTTTGGTTTTAGCATTGAAAATATTTTGCTGTGTTCTCATTCTTCGAAAAATGCAATACCAGGCAAAGCCCTGGATTACCCAGGACATCCCAGTTCTTGTCTGTACAGGAAAAGGAAAAAAATATTGTAAGCTGATTAGGAACTCTTCATCTATAATCAGGCCATTTTAGAACCTTCCCTTACTTAAAAAAAAAATTTTATTTTTAGAGTGGTTTTTAGATCCACAGCAAAATTGGCCAAAAGGAACAGAGATTTCCTATATGTCCTCAATCACCACATATGAATAACTTCTACCATTATTGATGTCCCCCATGTGAGACGTTTGCTGTAACCTATACTGACACATTGTTATCACCCAAAGTCCATAATTTGCATTAGGGTTCAGTCTTGAACTATGGATCTGGACAATAGAATGACATATATCTACCATTACAGAATTATACAGAATTGGGGTGTTTGTGGTGGTACTGATGTTTGAACTCAGGGCCTCACACTTGCTAGGCAGCACCTGAGCCACTCCATCAGCCCTGTTCTGTTCTATGTTGGGTGCTTTTGACATAGGGTCTTAAGAACTATTTGTGGAGCAGGTTTCCAGCTGCTGTCCTCCTGATCTCTGCCTCCTAAGTAGCTAGGATTACAGGCATGAGTCACCAGTGCTTGTCACACAGAATATTTTTTTGACTACCCTAAGAATTCTCTATGCTCCACCTATTCATCCTTCTCTTTCTCCTAGTCCTCTGCAACCACTGACTTTTTTTTTTTTGGTTGGTGTTGTTTGTTTTGTCAGCACTGGGATTTTGAACTCCGGGCCTCATGCTTGCTAGGCAGGCGCTCTTACTGCTTGAGCCACTTGAGAACTATTTACCTGGACTTGGAATGGCAGTCCTCTTGATCTCTGCCTCCTGAGTATGTAGGCGCCTGGCAACCACTGATTTTTTTACTGTTTCCATAGTTTTACCTTTTCTAGAATGTTACAGAGTTGAAATCATATAATATGTATCCTTTTTCAGATTCACTTCCTTCACTTAGTTACCTGCACTTAAGGTTCCTCCATGTGTTTCATGCTTAGACAATTTTTTTTTTTCCGGTACTGGGGCTTCAATTCAGGGCCTACACCTTGAGCCACTCCACCAGCCCTTTTTTGTGATGGGTATTTTTGAGGTAGGGACTCACAGAACTATTCGCCCAGTTGGCTTTGTACCGAAATCCTCCTGATCTCTGCCTCCTGAGTAGCTAGGATTACAGGTGTGAGTCACCTGTGCCCGGGCTTTTTTTGTTTGTTTGTTTTGATTTTGCTTTTAGTGCTGAATAATATTTCATTGACTGTGTGCACCCAGTTTATCCATTCACTTACCGAAGGTCATCTAGGTTACTTTTTCCTTCCCAGGAGCTCAACCAGGAGTTAATAGAGGAGATAGTGAGAGTTTTTGACTGAGAGTCAGAAGACCCACAGGTTGGTCCTGGGATCCCTGCTGTTTCTGGTTGGGTGGGTCTAGGGAATATGTCACTTAGACTTCTGACCTTCCATTTCCTCCCAGAGTTGCTGCAAGAAGTGAGATCATGCATACAGAAGCACCTTAACAACTCTAAAGCATAAAAATAAAAAGCCTCTGCCAGGTGCCAATGGGTCCCTCCTGTAATCCTAGCTACTTGGGAGGCTGAGATCAGGAGGATCAAGGTTTGAGGTCAATCCTAGGCAAATAGTTCAAGAGACCTCATCTCTAAAATAACCAGAGAAATACAGATGAGAGGTGTGGCTCAAGCAGTAGAGCACTTGCTTTGCAAGCGTGAAGCCCTGAGCTCAAATAACAGTCCCACCAAAACAAAACTAAA